TAAGGATAAACTATTTTAAACTATTTAAATTTATAATAGGTTAGAATTTACTTTAAAAAGTAATATAAAGGGGTATTATTTTTTTATTTTAAAACTTTAAAATTTTATATTTATAATTTTATTTATTAATTTATAATATATTTAATTAATTTTTAAAAGGGTTATTTTTATTTTATAAATTATTTTTAAAGTAATAAAAATATTCTTAAAGTTATAATTTAAAGGCTTTATTTATTATATTTATAACTTTTAAAGGAATTTTTAAATTAAGGTATATTAAGTTAGAAATTTATTATTTATAGGAATTAGATATATTATATTATAGTAACTATTTATAAGATCTTTAAAATTTTTTATAAATATTATTTAAATTATTTTTAAATTAAACTTTATTAATTAAAGGAATATAAAGTAGTTATAACTTATATTTAAAAGATATTAGTTTTTATAATTTCTTTATTTTAAAATAAATTAATATTATCTTTTAGATAAATATTAAATAGTTTATATTTAATATTAAGATTTATTACTTTTTTATTTTTTAAATTATTTTTAAATTTAGAATTTTTATTTTTTTAAAATATTAAATTATTATTAGAATTATTAATAGATATATTTATTAAGGTATTAATTAATTAAATTTAAAAGGTTATAAACTTATTTATTTAAATTAATAAAAGTAGAAGTTTTATATTATTTATAATTCCTTTTAAAAACCTTTATAAAATAAATATTAAAATTAAATTAATAATTAAAAATTCCTTTAAGAAAATTAGTTATTTTATAATTTAATAAAAATATAAAGTAAATTTATTATAATATAAAGTAAGTAATATTTTATAATATATTAATTATAATAAAATTTTTAAATTAATAATAATATAAAAATATTTTTTATAAAAAAGGTTAGATATTTTTAATTTATTTTAAAAATATATATATATATATTATAAAGTATTTAAAATTTAATTATTTAGTTTTATATTTTTATATTTTTTATAATTTAATAAAATAATTAAATAAATTAATATTTATAAAAATTTTATATTTTTGTAAAAGGGGGTATAGTATATTTCTTAACTTTAAAAGATAGTTAAAAGTTAAATAAACTTTATAAGGAATAGAGGAATCTTTAAGAGTTTAAGAAATCCTTAATAGACCTTTATTTAGGTTTTTAATAAAATAATAACTTTTATAGTTATTTTTAATAAGTTTAAGGGTTATATAAAATAATTATAGGTTTTATTTATTATTTTAATAAAAGCTTTTAGAAACTTTATTATTATTAATATTTCTATTATAATAACTTAAAAGAAAAAGTTATTAATATTAAAAGTAATGTTAATATAATTATTATTAAAGCTTTTAAAATTAAATTTAATTTAATAGAATATTTATAAAAGAATTTACTTTATTATTAAATAAAAGTTAATAAAAATAGTATATAAAGTTATTAAAAAAAGATTACTTATAGATATTATAATTACTATTAAAAAGAAAAGAGTTATATAGTAATAAAATTTATTAGTTAAGAGTAAAATTATTAATTAAAGACTTTTAATTAATAGAAGATTATTAAAAAGCCTTTAAAAACTATTTAATTTTAATTATTTAGATATATTAATAATATTTATAATAAATATAAAGTAATAATAAAGGATATTAAATAATTAAAGGAAGGAAGTTAATTAAGAATTTAATAAAATTAATTATTAAATAAAAGAAAAAGGAAGTTAAAATAAAGAGAGAAAAATAGCTACTTAAAAAAGGTTAGTTAATTTATACCCCTATAAAGGTATAATAAAACTATTAAAAATTTAATAAATTATTAAAATTAATTAATAATAATAAATAAAAAGGTTTTTAAAAGTATAAATAAAAGTAATTAATATTAATTAGTAATAATAATTAAAAATAGTTTTTAAAGAAAGATATAATTATAATAGCTAAATAAAAGTTATAAGAAAGTACTTTAAAAGTACTTTAATATTTAGTTATATCCCTTCCTAAAGTTTATTAAAAGGTAAGTAAAGCTTATTTACCTTTTTTTAGAAAAAGGTAAGAATTAATTTTATATTAGATTTAAACCTAATAGATCTTTAAACCTTCCTTAATCTATACTGTTATATCTAATATTATAGTTTATTATAACTTTAAATTTAAACTATATTAATAAGTTAATTATTATAATTAAAATTATAATATTACTATTATTAATTATTACCTTCTAATACTTTCTAATTCCTTTATATTTTAAAACTTTTAATAATAAATATAATATTTATAAAAACTTAAAATTAAATTAAATAAAATTATAAAATTAACTAACTAACTAATAGTCTTTTATAATTTTAAAGTAAATTAAAAATTTTAACTTATAATTATAATATATAATAACCTTTAACCTTAACTATCTATAATATTATTATAATTAAAACTAATTATTTCTAATAAAAGTTACTTATATAATTAAAATTATAATAAATAAATAAAAGTTTATAATTTAAAAAAAGTATACCTATTATAAACCTTAAATAATAGTTAAAATAGAATAAAACTAAATTAAATTAACTATAAATTAATATAAATTCTCTCTTAAACTACTTATAACCTTTTATAATAAAACTAAAAACTTAAATTTATACTTTAATAAGAATATCCTATAATTATATTAAAACTTAATATAATAAAGTTTTAATTAATAAAATAAAAAATATTTATATATTAATATAAATAATATTAAACTAACTTAAAAATAAAACTATTAATATTATTATACTTAAAATAAAAAAGTATTATTAATATTTTTAATATAAAAGTAATAAATTATATAAATTTAAAAATAATATTTTACTTAATATCTTTTTAATTATATTTATATAATTAATAATAAAAATACTATACTTTTAAAATATAATTATAATATATATAAAAAAACTTACCTTTATTTTAAAATATTATTAATAATAAAAGGAATTAAGTTTTTAATAGCTTTTAAAGTAAATTAAATTACTATTAATAAAATATAAAATTATAAATTTAAAGATTATTATTATTAATTATAATATTATTTTAATTAATACTATTAAATATATATTTCTTATACCTATTATTAACTTTATATTTTTATATTAATATAAATATTATCCTTAATATTAAAAAGAAATAATAAAGAATATTAAACTTATAAAATATAAAAAACTAATAATAAAAAATTTAAAATTAAAAATTTATATATAACCTTATTTAATACCTTAATAAAAGTAAAATAATTATTTTATTAAAATTTTAAATAAAATCCTTTATATTTATTTAGCTTTATTTAACCTATTTAAATTTATAAAGTATTTAACTAATTATTAAATCTTTAACTTAACTTAATACTATCTATAAGAAAAGTTTTTAAATTAATAAATAATAATTTAATACCTAAAACCTATTATATAAATAAAAGGAAAATTATAGCTAAATAAATAACCTATAAAACCTATAAAATTCTTAATTTTAACTTATATATAATATCTTTAATAAAAGTATATATTAAAAACTTAAAATTTATTTAAACTATAAAATAAAAATACTTTACTTTATTAAAGTTATTTATAAAATTTTAAAGAATATTATTTATAACTTTAAATTAAAAATATATTGAAAAATATTCTTTTTTAAAAATTTAATAAATAAAAATAATAATAAAAACCTTCTAATATAAATCTTATAGATAACTTTAAATCTTCTCTTAAATACTAAAAAAGATTATATAAATACTTAAAGATAAAATTATATTAAATAATTACTTACAATCAATCTATATCTACCCTATATTTATATAATATAACTTAATTTATATTAATTAAATTATTAATAAAAAAGGTTAAATAACTTTTAAAAGGTTAATATATATAAATTCTTTTAATTTAATTATAACTTATTAATTAACAACTCTCTATTTATAATTTATTTATTAAAGTAAATTACATTAACTAAAAATACCTTATAAAATAATTATATTTATAATTAATAAAGTAGATATCTTTAAATAAAATATAAGCTAAATAATAATTATAATAAATAAATAAATTAAATTAATAACTATTAATTTAAAAAGTAAAAAGAATAAAATAAGAATAATAATAATCTTTCTTTAATAAATAAATTTAGCTTAAAAGTAGAATAACTTAATCTTATAATCTTTAAATAAAAAGAATATCTATAATAATAATCTAATAAAGGACTATTTAATAAAATTAATAGTTAATAATAAAGTTTATAAAATAAATAAACTACTAATTAAAATAATAATCTATTTTTTAAATATATCTTTAAATACCCTACTAATAATTAAAAAGTAATATATAAGAATATAAAGAACTATTAAGTAATTATTATAAATAAACTTAACTATAAATAACTTTACTAATAATAATAAAGGTATATAACCTAAAATTTAAATATATATATAGTTAAATATAAATTATACTTAAAATACTATCTATTTAAACCCTAATATATATAATTTATATAATTTTCAACCTCTCTTTTATTAATTAATAAAAAAATAATATTAAATATTAATTATATATAACAACCTTACTAATTATTATAATAAACTCTAATTAAAATAAATTTATATATATATATAGGTACCACTTAGTTATATTTAGGTACGCGCCTTTCGATTCTAGGTGCACGAATTTCCGTTCTTTAGAATAGAAGGGAAACTATATATATTAATAAATATATAAAAAGTCTTTATTAATTAATATCTTATCTTCTATTCTATATATATTTAATAATATATATAATGCTTTTATATTATAAAAAACATTTAACACCTAGTATTTAAAAAAGATATAATATTAATAACTATGGTTAAATGTCACCTAAGCCTTGCGACACATAGATAAGGCTAAGGGGCACTGTTTTGACGGATTCTTTCTTGAATGTCCCCTAAAACCCATTTGGGTCGCTTTTGATTCGAAGTACCACTGTTACATATTTCACTTGTGCCTCGCTTTATCATCGTCACGACTGCAGTTGGTCTCCACGGCCCCCAACTCCACACCGCCATCAGCTATCTCAAAGTATGTATTATCACGGGCCACCTTCTTGTTTCCATTTGAACCTCCAATGGTAACTATGTCTCCAAATTTATAGCTTTGAGGATTTGAGGCCGCGGTCGACTTCCCGGACCTTCCTGGAACGCGTTGCAGCAACTGTTTCAGGCGCGGCGAGATGCCAGATTCTGACATGAATTTTGGGATACAGGGCACCGACAGGATGACAAACCCACAGGTCATCTCCGCGCAGGCCCAGAATAGGAGAGGAGCGATGAAGTACATCTGGTCTTCTGTTCCAGCAAAGTTGATAGTGGTGTACAGACGGACAGATGCTGATACTGAAGCCCTATTTTGGTTTAACAATGAGCCTGCGACATCCTCAGAGTACAACTAACGTGTAGATAACTTACAAAAGTCCGACAGTGAAAAGTACGGAGATACCGACTTTCCTTTGCCAGTTCATATTCAAAGACCAAATTACTTTCTGCGGCAGCAACACCATAGTCCAGTCCGAAACTACTTGGACGCTGGCGGATGCGAGCATAACCTTGGGAAGGCTGTAACAGTTGTCCGGAGTCTGTAGGTAGAAGTCCCAGATGGCATTGTGAGGATTGCACTGCATGTTCAAAAGAATGATGCACGTGATGCCCCAGCTCACCTGAAGAGAGACCACGAGCATGCATCCCCACCAAAAGAAGCTCTTGGTCTTTTCGGCCGGCACGAAAATTCGACACCAGTCAAGTAGGATTGCTGACTTGATGAGAGGAAGTGTCGCGGAGTAACTGCAGCCATATACCAAAATGAGCTGCCACGCGCTTATGGTTAGTAGTGGTCTGCACTGTAGCTACTAAGAGGAGGTGAATCTACTCACATACAGCGGACGGATCATGTCTCCGTATCGAAGGTTCCACTGATGAACATAATATCCTGGCGTATATATCATGGAGTATCCGGCATAGTTCGTCACACAATATGCAATCTGATGGAAAAAGTGTAAGCGACTGGGTCTTGATAGTCGAACTCCCGCACAGCCCTGGAGGTGAGGCCAGGAGCGCTCCAGCACAATCAGGAGACTCTGCAACTCACAAAGCCCAGAATCATCAACACTGGAAGTGCGCACGATTAGCGATTGATTTGAGATACTGGTCACTCAATCAAAATGGACATGGGCCCCACCTTCTTCGATTTTCAGCGTTCCAGCGACCCCAATCTTGGTGTAGCCCCGGATCAAGCAACAGAGCGCAGTGACGACTGTGCAAAACGTTGTGACGAACCAGGCAAGACCATTCCGGTTCGGTGGATTACTGAAATTCGGCGTTATTCCTTCGGGTGGGCTCAAGGCTGGCTGTGTTAGCAATGAAACCAGCTGCTCTGAGGACATCGACATCGTGATCTAGACCCGACGCGAACGGTACTGCGTAGAGCCGGCGAGTCTAAAAGAATGCGACGATCTCCGGGACGCGTCCTAAGAGATGGTTTACCAGGAGAACAGTCCACGACAAATTTGATGGTCCGACCCTTTTGGAAGGACAAATTTGATTCGCCGGGGTTTGATCAATACCTTGCACCAACATTTGTTGCGTCGCAATCTGTTGGTTGACGGTTCCACCCGGCCCCTCTCGGAATGTGAGGGCACTCGAGTACAATGTGACTGATCAACCAGGAAGGCATACTGTTGGTTTCACCTCGCTTCCAAACTGGACCTGTTCCTCGGGGAAACCCCCAATCTCAGTCCGGTCCTCCTGCAAGACACCTTGAGCGGGGTTTCAACCGAATCCACTAACCAATGCACCGTTCAGGGTGAATATTATCCTGGATTTAATAAGCGCCGTGAGGTAGTATTTGCTACTATGGTCCCATCCAGTAGCATGAGGACTTGTAGAAGGATGCAGAGGCCTGCTTGACCCACCCGTCGAGCACGCGCGAGCAACCGGGCCTTTTTGAGATTTAATATTTCTACCGCCCATTCCTTCTCTAGTATCCTTGCCTCTTGCATTTTTCGATTCAGTGTTTCAATATTTCGTCACATCGCCGCCATGCCGAGTCTTGACATATCATCGAGTAAGCTGACCTCTAGTTATGTCTCGACAGAACTGAAATTGCAGCTGAACTGAACCTTTGCAGATCATTTGGAAGCCTCAGCCAATGGGCACCACTTACCGGCCGACCTCAGGCAGATGCAGGCGCGTCTGCCTCTCCCATCAGTTGCCCCCGGAACCATAGATCATGCCTCCATGACAGATGAGGAGGCTGCGGTCCAAGCACGCGACGTGTTGCAGACGATGAACAAGGCGCTGGCAGCGGGCGACGTCAAAGCTCTGGCGGAATGCTTCTTCCCTGGCCAAGCATATTGGAAAGATCAGCTGAGTTTGACCTGGCACCTGCGCACATTGACAGGCCCTGAAACAATCGCTGCCGGGCTCATAGAAACGTCGCGGCTGCGGGCGCTGGCGGGAGAGATCGAATTCACTAAGGCCCAATTCACACCCGCGGCCCCGACGCTCCAGTTCATCGAGAGCGACCTGACTTTCCGGACTGGCTCTCCCCAAGCCACATGCAGTGGTAGACTTTTACTATTGCCGCTGCGAAGCGAGCACGGTGGAGTTGAGTGGAAGGTCTGGATTTTAAGCACCAAATTGGAGAATTTGGACTTGCAGCCTGAGAACGAAAGCTTGCTCTTGAAACCATCTGAGCCGCTCAGTGGCGCAGAGACACTCGAGACAGATGTTTTCATCATTGGAGGCGGCAATGCGTAAGCACATCCCACATCACAGGGAGAAACAATCTTGATGCGCGTGAGCTAACGTGAACAGGGCTGTCGCACTTGCTGCGAGGCTGAAGGCGTTGGGAGTCGCAAGCATGATGGGTGAGCGGAATCCTAGACCCGGGGACAACTGGGACCGCCGCTACGAGTCTCTGAAGTTCCACATCCCAACGTCGTTCTGCGAATTACCGTACATGAGTGAGTCCGATTTACCTCTGTTTTTCATTTCGCGGCTTCCTATACTGATACAGAGCCAGATTACGATAAGATGCTGCAAACTCCTCATCTGCTCACCCGAGCTGAACTCGGCGAACAGGTGCGGAGATACGTCGACAGGTTCGGTTTGCAGATGATCAATTCTGCCTCCATACGATCGGCCGAGTTTGACGATCTGCAGAAGCGATGGACCATTGACCTTGAGACACCTGGCGGGAGGCGCACGGTGCGGAGCAAGCATCTCGTCCAGGCCACTGGAGTTGGGTCACAGATTCCATATACTCCTTCCATAGCAGGCCGTGAATTGTTCCAGGGAATCAGCCTTCACTCTGCGGACTATAAGAACGCCACCAAGGATATCAAGGACAAAGGCCTCAAGTCAGTCGTGGTTATTGGCTCGGCCAACACAGCCTTCGATGTCGTCCAAGACTGCCACGACGCCGGGCTACACACAACGATCAACGCCCGCTCACCCACCTACGTAGTCCCCCTGGATTACGTATGTCACGAGATGAGCTTGGGTGCCTACGACTCCCCCGCCGGGGTCGAGGCCATCGACAAGATGTTCCTCACCCTCCCGCAGGTCGTAGCCAGCCAGATCTCCAAGGGACTCTTCGCCGCCCTGGCATCCAACGAGCCCAACCGATACGCCAAGCTCGCCGAAGCCGGCTTCCCCGTCTTCGACAGCGCGCACCCGGACGCGGACCTCATGTCCAACCTGCTTGAGCAGGCCGGGGGCCACTACGTCGACGTCGGCACGACGAAGCTCATCGAGGACGGCAGGGTCAGCGTCAAGGCCGGTGTGGAGCCGGTGGCGTACACTGCCACGGGGCTGAGGTTCTCCGACGGGACGACAGTCGACACCGACGCGGTGGTCTGGTGCACCGGGTTCGCCGACCGGGACACGCGAGTCCTGGCGTCTACTATTCTCCCGCCTGAGACAGCTGCAAGGCTCGATGGTACTTGGGGCCTTGACGAGGAGGGAGAGGTGCGAGGAATGTGGAAGCGCCAGAGAGAGGTCGAGAACTATTGGGTCACGGGTGGATATACACAGCAACATCGTTATTACTCGAGGACCTTGGCACTGCAGATCAAGGCGGCTCTTGAGGGGTTGCTGCCACCGGCGTATCTTGAGACGCCGTCGTCGTAACAGTGGCGAACGTCATGCCTCTCGATTCGGGTCCGATGTGGGGCGCTTCGGCCCAAACACATTCCTCAGAGTCTGCGCATACAGTATGTCTAAAACTCGCTTACGACTCTCAAGGTTGCAATTGATACGTGGATGGGGCAGTGAAGACATTAGCGCTGCGTTCGTCCGCTTCGGTTTTACTACACTAGTACCGGCTTCGAAAATGAGCTACAGCCCAGGACCGCCTGATTATGATCACTTCTGCACCGCACCGCATCCAACTAGCCGCTCTTCCCCCTGCAAATGTCTCGTTCGAGGAACCAATAGGATCGATTAGGGTGTACCGGGGATCAATAATATGGCCCGTAGCACATGGCCATCTACTAATAGTCTCTCTTTCGATCCTATTGTATGTGATGAGGGTGATTATCAAACATGTCGAAACTGAGCCCATCACCCTACGACGTAGCTATGTTTCTATGAAACCGGCCGCTGCGAATAGATTCGGCTATTCTTACATCTTGAGGGTTCCTCAGGCTCGCCTTGCTCATCGAGTGTTGAACTTCTATTAGTCTATACCTATGCATCTTAATTGCATGCGATCGTCGCGTCAATGGAACATCCCAAACATGGTGCACTGCTACATTGAGGCCCCATAATGCATTTTGCTGAAATCCTATGGCGACTTCATCTCTGCACGGTCAAAACATGTTGCCCAAGTCACCTCCCGTACTTGGTATCCCCAATATGAAGTTGTTGGTAGCCTGCTGGCGTCTCTGGTGCTTCATTGTCTCCTCTCCACCAAAGGTGGCCCAGCTTCCACGCCGAGGACTCGGGTCCGCCTCTTCTGCCCGCGGCGATGCCGGGTGTGGGATTCGTGGCTTGTGGAATGTCGGCTGACGCTGGCTTCCTGTCCATCTTTCGCCCCCGTCCCTCGTGTGGGGCCGCGCATGCGTGTTTTGAAACGCTATAGTACCGATCGAGTGAGAGTAGTATTGCTGAGGATCAGCATCCTTCGGAGTTGGGAGGCTGATAGCAGGAGGCTTTGGTTCTGGCTTCCGTAGTATGAGGGACTGGGAGGCCTCGTCAATGTCTCTAGCAAACTACCCGCGGCTAAAAGAAAACACCGACCTTGGACCTCATGGTCTCCGCCCTCTTCAACCCCCTCCTCGCATCCAAGCTCAACCTCGTCTGCCCCTCTTCACACGCCTGCTTCGGCCCCGGCCTCGAGAAATTCCGCGCGTGATTATGGAAACTCGGCGGCGGCCCCGTCCTCGACCCCATAGAATACGACCGGTCCGAGGCATGCGGCCTCGGCCCAAACGACGACTGCTCCGAAGACCGACTGACAAGATTCGAGTGGCTCCCGCTCCGCCTCGGCGCAGGCTGCAGCCCCGGGTGCCGGTCCCTCGGGCTCTGCATGCCGTTGGAGGCAAGGTACTCCGCCGCCAGCCGCCTCTCCTCGTCGAGGTCGACCTCGTCCCGCGTCGCTGGCGGGATCTTGATGATGCGCTTCGTCGTCGTGGTCGTGACGATCGTGGTCGTCATGGTGATAATTAGATCGCCCGTGACGGGGTCCGTGTGCGTCTCCCGCGTGACCACGGGGCTGGAGGTCGACGTGGCCGTCGACTTGGTGTGCTCGACCGGCGCGATGGACGAGTTGCTCAGGGTCCGCGGGTTGAGGCTCGGCGAGGCGGTGGACTCCTTCAGCTCGCTGGAGGCGTCCGAGCTGTTTGTTGTTGTGGCGAGCTGGCCTGGTAGGGTTGCATTCTCAAGGGTCGGGTCGTCTGATCTTTTGGGGGGCCTTTCTCTATAGCTGTCGTCGCTGCGGCTGCTGCTCTGTTTCGTTGCTTGGTCCGAGTGAGAGATGTCGCCGCTCTTGCTTCGCCAGAACTTCCATCGTGGCCGCCTCGTCTCACCTTCAGAATAATATGCCATGGCGGAGGGAATTATTGGATTTCTCTTGTTCGTTTTGCAGGGCTCTGGTAGCAGAACGCTTCAGAGTGATATGAATGAGACCTGCTAGGTCGCATTGCACAATCCCGGTGCGAGCTTCGTATTCGAGAATGTCTGTTGCCTGAAGACGCATTTAGCCAACGTCATGCATGTCGTTCATCTGTTGTACGTGTTTTGTTTTTTGGGTCGCAGCACATCAACATGCTGTGTCGGTTCTGCTGGAAATATTTTGACTGTGACAGAGTTGAGCGAGGTCATCATCAGAAATCCCACGGCGGGGAATTCCTGCGCCCCATTCCCGTCTTCCCGTCTTCCCGGGAAAAAAGGTGGATGTGGCAGCCCCGCGCTCGGACGAGACGTATATTCAGGAAGCGGACCGAGCAAACAAGAACCAGGAATTTGGAGCAGGCCTCCCCCCTGTCGTGGCCCGGCGGTAAGTACCGAATCCGTTCCTGCATTGAGGTGGAGTCGAGTGGACTGAACTTCCTGCCTCTCAAATGGTCAGTTGCGGCGGTGATGATTTGGGGGTTCAGGTGAGCTCGAGTCAAAGACCTCAGCAAGCTTCATCTTTACCCGCTCTAGGTTTTCTCTCCCAGTCAAGGTTGCGCGTGGGGATAACCTTATTCTAGTAAAGAGCTCAGAATTGGTGATGTGGTGGTAAACAGATCGAAACAAGGGGTTTACTACGCAGACAATTAGCTGCAGGCAATCACACCGTGCCATGCCGTCATCGTTCTCCTTGGTACAAGTGTGCAGCACTGTAGTATTTGACCGGAAGGCACTAGCATCTAGCCCCGATGAATCAATTTGGCCTGTCCGATCTCGTATAGATATGGTCACATTGAATCGTTCCAGACAGACGAGGATGTGTGACGAGGCAAGAGATACGTTGCCTCTTCATTCGGTGTGTAACCCCGTGATGCGAACTCAGGATCGCAAGCACACAGTAGCATTGCATGCAACCCTAAGAAGTTTCACGTCTCAATGAGGGAAGAGGCAGGAACTGAGCGAAAACTCTATTCGACCTGGGGCCCTATCAGCTATCAGCGCTAGCGGCCTGGCAGTCCAATGCAACAGAAACACATGGGGCTACAGTACTCCGTAGCACGGCCGCCAACCGTTTGACCCACCACACAGCCGGTTGCCAGTCAGAGGCTCAGAGCCAAAGCCGTTGCGGTGCCTGTTCATTCGGGTTGTCCGTGCCCTCGGGCACTCGCCAGGGTAGAGTTCGTACGGCAATGTCGGAAAAGCGCTGACACCCACAATTCACCTGTCTCGGGTCAGGATATACCTCGATGTTTCATCTTTTTCTGAGGAGAATTGTTTCGACTAGAGCCCCAACGCATAAGCATATATAGGTAGTATTACAATATTAATAGGCGGGACGTGCTTTTGGGTGCATGTTCTGACGGGCAAGGTCTTTTAAGGAACTCCTCTCAGGAATTACAGCATACTGATCTTCGTCCAGCCTGTCGTGGGTTCGAAAGGATGAATCAAGTAAGGGATTGCTGCATAGTTTGTTTTCATTAGACTATAGGCAGCTATCACACGAAGCCAATAGATATGGGAGATCCGGATTTCCCTGCTTTGAAGGGAGTAGACATAGTTTCCTAATTTAAGTCCGCTTCTACTCATCATACTATTGAAGCAGCACGAGGTTCAGTCTGGTGTTTCAAGCACGGTTCAAGTCGTCTAGGCCAGAATTCCAATGTTGCATCAGTCTGCAGGAAGAACATAGCAACAGTCACCTCCTCGGGTAATACTAATAGGTGTTGAAATGAATTTGGCATACCTAGCTGCAATGTAAGAGCAACTCCAGGTTTCATGTTTGACTTTGAAGCGGCTCGCTTTTGAAGGGTCTAGCGTAAACTTGGATTGCAACTCATCCTTTGCTGATTGCCCTAATATTGTAACATGATCTCCGGACTTGACCGGACGAATGATGGCAAACCGAAGGCTTTTGTCAAGGACTGAGCGTGCACCCTCCATTGATCCTGTAAGGATGGTCCAATGAGGATGCCCCAGTGCATATGGAAGGTTGAGTAACGGCCCGCCTGCTGCGACTGTAGGGAGTGTCTGATAGACACCTGGTACGATAGTTTCCCTGCCTCGTGCGATGACCTCTAGCTCATATTCATTCATAGCATCTCCGATCCGCTATCGTGCAGACTAGAAGAGAACTCAGTCTTTTCAAGCTCTGGAGTGATTTTCCCGAGGGATCGACAGTCGAGCAAGTTTCAGACAAGACCGACGCGGAACGACAGCTGATTGGTATGTATCTGTGTTGCATGATCTGTGAGAGATAATCAAGCCTCTCACATCTGAAATAGGACGATCTCTGAGATACGTCGCCGCCGTTGGCGCAGTCGAGAGGGTCGAAAAGGGTCGTTACGCCGCCAACCATGTTACCCGAAACCTCCGCGAGCCTTTAGCTGAACATGACTTGTCCACTTAGTATGCCCTTTCAGAAATTCCCATAGAAACGCCTTCGACTGTTTACTCACAGCGACTGCAGCTTCTACCTTAGTGCACCACCATTTCAGGCCATCCCTCAGTTCCTCCAGAAGACCAAGTACATGATGCCGGAAGATGCGAGCCAGACCCTATTTCAAATAGCGCTAGGCACCTACAAGACTATATTCGAATGGTTCGTCGGACAGCCGGAATTTCTAGGCACTTCAACAACTATATGTCGATGCATCGCAAGCAAACTGAAAGCCTTTCCTGGCTCTCGGTCTACCCCGTTGAGGCCGAAGCGGCGGGCAAGCCGGCGAAACAACCGCTATATGTTGATATCGGCCGTGTTATTGGCCACCAGTGCAAGTAATTCAAGGAGAAGTCCCGCGACACGCCAGGCCGTGTGGTCCTCCAGGACCTGCCACGTTCGATTACCAGGGCTCCTCCCACCCCGGGCGTTGAAAACATGGCCCACGAATTTTTCCACACTCTAGCTTATCACAGGTACGGAGCTCTAATCTTGCCGCGCATCAAGTGCTGTATTGCAGCTTCTGCCTCATGAGCTCATTCATTCTGACCGAAATGTTCGAAATGAACAGGGGCCAAATTCTACTACATACATACAGTTATAAGTTAGCGCACCAGTCCACACACAACCCCACCAATACATATAAGTTATATATATCTTTATAATTAGAGTTACTTAAATATATATTTACTTTATAAGTGTATTTTAAGTTATATAAATATAAGAATTATACTATTTAACTTATCTCTTTTTTTTATATTTAAAAGTATATTTTTCTTTATTAAAGCTTAATTTTTAACTATTATAATTAATTATTAGACTAATAATAATAAAAATAAAATATATAAAATATATTATATTTCTTAATACTTATAATAAAATTATATAATAGGTTTTATAACTTATAAAAATATTAGTTTTATTTATTAAAAGTTATTATTAATATAAGAATATTTTTAATTAATTAAACCCTTATTTAAAATTATTTTTTATTTATTTATATATAAACTTCTTTAATACTTTATTAATTAAATTATTAATAATAATTAACTACTCAATACCCCTTTTATTTTTATTAAAAGGTATTAAATATATAAGTTTTTAAAAAGAAATTTAAAATAAAACCTTTAAAGTTATATAAATTAACTATAAATATATAAATAATATTATATTTAAATATATTAATAGTTTTTAACTATTTAAAAATATTAAAATTATTAATATTTTTAATTAATTTTAAAGTAATATAAATAAAATTAACTTTTAAAAATAATAATAATTATAATTTAATAATTAAATGTTTAAAAGTAAGTTTATTATTAAAAGTTAGTTATTAATTATATTTAATTTATTATAATTAAATATTATATAATAAATATATAGTTAATTTTACCTTTAATTATTTTTATAAAAAATAGTTTAATAATAATAGTTTCTTTAAAATAAACTTAATTAATTTAAAATTATAATTTTATAATATTAAATATAAATTAAATTAATAATAATATTAATTTATAATAATTAAAAATATTTATAAATTTTTACTTACTTTAATAATTTTAAATAATAATAAATATTAATCTTTAATAATTATAAATTTTATATAATTAAAGAGTTTATATAAAAGTATTTTTTTATGAAATATAATTCTTCTTTTAATATATATTTTTATATATTTTAATTATTTAAGATTAAAGTACTTTTATATTTAAAGTATTAATATTATTAAGAGTTAATTTAATTTATTATAATATATAATATAAAAGATTTTTATAAAAGATTTTTTATATATTAATTATAAAATATAAAAGAATACTTTTATAATTATATATATTAAAAAAGTTAGTTAGAAATTAAAATTTAATTTAAAAATTAAAATAAAGTTCTTAACTTAAAGTTAATATAAAAATAATAATATTACTACCCTTAATATTAATTAAAAACTTATTTTTATTAATAAATAATTAACTTTAATAGATTTAAAAATACTTTATTTATTTTATTAAATATTAAAAATTAAGTAAAATTATATAAGTTAAAGTAAATATTTAAATTATTTAAAATTTAACTTTTTTAAAAACTAATTAAAAGGTTTAAAAGTTAATTATATATATAGTTATTATAAAAGTAAAAGATATTTTTATTAATATATTAAATTATTAAAAGATTTAAAATAATAAAGAGGTTTTTTTTATTTAAATAAAGTATTTATTAATATAATAATAATTAAAAAAAGAATATTAATAGAATATCTTATAAAAATTAAGGTAAAGTTAAATAATAAAAGTAAAGTAAATAATAAAAATAAGTTTATAAAATCAAATTATATTATAATTAAAATTATAAAGATTTAAATATTATTATTAACTTTAAAATAATATTTATAATTATTAAAAATTTAAATTTAAAGTTAAATAGTAATCTTAAAGGTGTCTAAAATTTTTATATGCGTTAGTGGGGTTATGTGTGGACTGGTGCGCTGACTTATACAATCAATCCCCAAACAATCTCCGCAAGCTCCTTGAAATTATGAAGGCTGCTCTGACGGCCGATTCGGTGCTGCTCGTAGATGAGATGGCACTGCCAGAGACGGGTGTACTAAGTACCATAGCAGCTTCAATAGATCTGATATGGCCTCTTCTCTGGCCAGTGCGGAGCGCACCAGGGGAAAAGTGGGCGGAATCATTTCATGAAGTCAGTCTTGAGATCTTCCATACGTATACACGACGATCGAACGTACGAGACTGTGATGGACGCACGTTTACCGAAAGCTGCTTAACTGGATAGAGGTAGATAGTCGTTGGATGCTGTCTCATCTCAGTCTCCCTGCTAGTGGGTCTTAAGATCGACGTATCAGATTTGAAGTGTCTAGATACAAAATACGAGTATTCACTTCAAATCCTTGAGCAAACATCCACACTGAGGTCCACAGTGGTGAGGAGCTTGCTCTCCAGAAGGATTCAGGGAGGCCCGGGGTTGTATCGTTGTAATGATGGACTGGTTGGCTGCCTACGCTTAAAGATGCACATTACTTATGTAACTGCACACGTTCAGGGACCCTAGGCGACACATATACAGGGTACCTAGGTACTTAGGTATCACTACGGCACAGCACTCCGTAGATAATATGTCAGATTCAGCTAAGTATTAATACCTAAGTACTTGCTCCTCTTCCAACCCCCAACGTCCGAAAACACCAAACGAATCGTTACCCAGAGCTCAAACAACATTAAAACACCATCTTTGTTAAAACCCTTGTGCACCCAGTGTCATACATTTCGAAAAACCTCACCATGCCTGCACCCAAGCTTATCTTCGGCTCTGGCCTCTTCACCAAGGAACACGGCTACGGTTCTGCCCAAGACTGCAAGCCGTGGCTTGATGTCCTGTTGGACAACAAGGCCAAGGGCCTCATCAACGAGATCGACACCGCAGCTGCCTACCAGCAATGTGAAGGGTATCTAGGTGACCTCAAGTTCACCTCTCACTTCGAGATCGGCACCAAGGTCTTCGGTGGGGCTCATCCAGCCCAGCCTGCCACCAAGGACGCCGTTATTGCTCAGGCCAAGGACAGCTTGAGCAAGCTGGGCGTTCAGCAGATTGACATCCTATTCATACATTGTCCCGACTATCGTGTCTCATTTGAAGACACGCTCTCAGGAATTGACGCCCTATACAAGGAGGGCGCCTTCAAGCGCTTTGGCCTTGCCAACTACAGACCAGAAGAAGTGGAAGAGGTCATCAAGGTCTGCAAAGACAAGGGCTTTGTGCTCCCATCTGTCTTCACGGGCAGCTACAGTGCCGTTGCTCGTCTGCCAGAGAGAGAGCTTCTGCCCCTTCTCCGCAAGCACAAGATCGCATTCTACGCTTACAGCCCCATCGCAGGCGGCTTACTGGCCAAGACATCCCAGCAGTTCCGTGACCAGTCATTTACTGGCCGATGGGACAAGGCAGGCTTCTTGGGCAAGGTTTACCAGTTCATTTATAACAAGCCTAACGCCCTAGAGGCGTTGGACAAGTGGCACGAGATTGCTGCGGCTGAGGGCATTTCGCCCGCAGAGATGGCGTAAGTCCCGCTTTGAATCATATCTTTTTACTTTTTCACTTATTGCATGATCATCACTTCCAAATACCGCTGCTAATGACGGAAACCTGTAGTTATCGCTGGGTGGCCCACAATTCTGCGTTGGATGGCTCACTGGGTGATGGCATTATTATCGGCGCGACTTCTATCGAGCAGTGGAACAGCAACCTCGAAGCGATTCAAAAAGGCCCCCTGAGTGCAGAGACCGCCAAAAAGATTGACTCACTCTGGGGACCAGGCTTGGAGTCAGATTCTATCTTGGACAACTGGGCAGCTATCCAGGGAGTGACGGCAGCGAGTAAGAAGTAGCTGACGGCTAGAGTATAAATATGTGGCAGCTAGCTACCAAGATTTCAAGCTGCATATCTATTGGTTGTCATGAATCCGAGTACGGCATTGGATTCAACCAGGCTGACTTATATGACAAGGCAGAGGCTTTGAGCTTCTGGACCTTGCTTACCTAGCCAACGTCGACTATCCAGTTCTGTACAACGATCGACCTACACAGCTCAACAAGTGTGCACCCACCCATTACTTATTGTTAGAAAATTCCAGAATCTCACAATGCCCTTGTCTCCTTTTAACTGGTTTCGCTTGTATTCCGTATACGTCCGAAGACATACCATGGCGCCTTCATACGGTGGCAAACGCTCAAGACTCAGCGTTTAAAAAAATACAATGCCAATATGTTGGCAAGGATTAACCACCAACGGTGCCCAGGTACCTGCCCAGGAGTACCACGGAGTGGGCTACTTGCACGACCCCGCCGACACCCGTTGGTTGTTCGACGGGGAGGGAAAGGATTTACTTGCCTGTTCCGACCGGCGTGTTGTTCCTTCGTGTTCCCGTTGGAGGTGGGCCGCAGACCCTCAAACCCTTTATCAGCATTCCCTCCATGATTTACGTTGCCACCAAAAGAATAAGATCCATCACTGGGATGTGACCGCGCGAGATTGAGGAACCATGTAACCACACACGCCAGATTACCAAATTGCGCGGTCTACTAGTAGTTGCATATTCCAGCCAGTAGTAACCTGTTCCTTCAGGACGCGATAACGCTAACGACCAACAGTGAATGCATTGACCGGCCCTGCTCTGACGATGCTGCTGCAGCTCCGCCCGGAAGGAAACCGCCGAGTGGGCACCTGTGCCCCATTCTTCCTAGGTGCCTTTAAGTGGGTGAGCAGTCTTGTCAGAATCTGTGGTTCTGATCGTAAGACATCAGCCCCAGCTTTTGCAGGAGGCTGATGCATTAGCTTAGAGCTAGACCATGCGGGCAAATAGTACAGGCCGTTGCTGGTGTGTTGGCTCACAGTCTACGCTCAGGACCCACGACGTCCATTCCCAAGATGTGCAAGCGCCTCATGGTGAGCTGCATGAAGAATGACCGAACCCCACGGGATGGAACCATTCGCAAAGTCATTGGCATGTCAACAAGAACCGTGAGACGAAGGTGGGAAAAGAAATGCGTCACCGTCTGTTAACACGTGATACAACAACGTATCGTCAGGGACTACGCTGGGTTCGGCTTAATACCCGGAGTCCTTGGAACATACCTGTAGGGTTCAATTTCATCCACTCATCCACTGCTGGCGCAATGTTTACCCAGGTACCCAGGCGTGTTTCGCACAACGTGAGAAAGAAATCCCGCATGCCATGTCAAAATCGTAAAACGATTGTATTTGAAATTACTTTGTGAGGATCAAGTCCCAAAGAATGGTGAAAATGATTCCGAGAGATTCATGACGTCTTCTGCCGGACCCGAATTTGGACACCTTTGTGTGGTACCATGACGTTGACCAGGGACATGCTCTTGGGGGGATCACCCAGAACCTCGACGTCGTAGTTCAAGATGATGTAGGCCAGATTTTCTGCGCGGCATACCATTGCGCAGTACAGAAATGCTTGCCGTAGCCCCAGGGAAGGAAAGATTGACTGGGAACTGTCGACGACGCGGCTGCTCGCTCCAATCTAACGTCTCCGTTGTTCTCCCTCCCTGCCTGTTTGGCTTCAAAACCTTCTGGAAAATCGGAACGCATCAAACTCTCGCGGTCTGTCGTTGAACGCGAATTCCGGATCCATGTGCACTGGCATAGGCTGGGAAGGGAAAACCACACAGGCTTTCCTGGGGAGTTTCGAGCCGTCATCGAGACTCAGGTCTAGCTCGTCGCCAACAACGTCGCGAGCCACGCTGACAATTCAGATAGCGGAGAGTCGTATTGACTCACGCAAGGTGGATTCTAGTAGGTGAAGGCTGTCAATGGTATCCTTGGACCCTAGTTCATCCGTTGCCTTTGAGGATTCCGGGTGCTCGGTCATTTTCATAAGCTCTTCTTGAAGACTGGCAAGGAACTCCGGGTCGTTCTTGGAAGGACTCTTATATAGGTCTTGAATACAATGCGATAGCACCCATACCATTCTCATGACAGACATGGTCACAAGCCCGAGGAGACGCAGACCGATTCTCGAAGGTTCCATCTGCTCCGGTCCGGCTTTCGCACATCTCTCTATCATCCATTGCAAGAAGTCGTCCTATAAGAATGGGTGTGTTAGAGATAAAAGCCCGCACATTGAGAAATCGATTATGGATTTGCATACTGGTACTTTTGGAGCCACGCCTGATTTGCTCTTCTCCCAAACGCGGATCCTCTCTTCGATGACGGGCATGAGTAACTTCAAGCAGCGTGATTGGTTATACTTCGCGGCTAAAGCGAGCAGAGGAGCGATCCATGGCCTCAAAGACGGCGGCAAACAGTTAATAATCGCGGTCCCCATCACCACAGCGTCGGCATACCGCATTGTAGCACCCAGGACACTTTGGTCCTGACATAGGGTCTCACCGACCAGGACCTGCATGGCCGCACGGGAGATGACTCTTCCGCACGCATACCAGTTGTTTAATGTGACCACCCAACCTTCTCGTCGTTGCAACTCTGAGAGCCCTGCCAGTATGCGCAGAAGGCCCTGTTCAGCCCCTCAGCCGCGGGACCAGCCAGGCTGCCAACCTGCTTGGGCGCCAAGGTCTTGCGAACAACCTCAAAGTGGTTTGGGTTCCAAGGTTGTTGTACACATCGCTGTCGGCTATCATGTAGGGAAGCTGTATGATCTCATGCCGGGGGCGGTGAGCCCCGAGTTCGTTGTCAGGCCGGTTGAGTAGATGCAGCGATGTCGGAGGGAGCACGACGACGGCACTCCCGGTCCATACTGCTGGTAAAGCGAAGGGCCGGTTGGCTTTGGAGAACTGGGTATACCCGACTGCTGTGTTTTGTGCTGTTTTAAGGATGGAGCCAAAGACGGCCCTCGGCTATGACTAAACACCCCGGCTAGGGAGTCCAATAACGTTTAGGTCTTTTTGTAACTTATATTAGGATTTATTAACTTTAGCTACACTATATTTTTCCTTTATACTATATAACCACTTAGCTCTTCTAGGTATAAGGCTAAAAGATCTATAATTATAATTTTATAACTAGTTTTTTATTTAACTATATTATATTATTATAACTTTATTTAGCTTTATTTAAGCTTTTTTTAAAAATATTTTTAGTATTTTTTTTTAAAGAAGTTAAATCTAAAAGGGAGCCTTTAAGCTTAAGTTTAAGATTCTTATAGATTTTAATTTCTTTTAAATTAAGTTTATAATCCTTTAACTTCTTTAAAAAAATATATTAATTATTTTAAATATTAATAACTTCTTTTTAAAGTAAAGATCTATTTTTATATAGTTATAAACTTAATTATTAATAATTATTTTTTTTTATAAAGCTATTAGAATTATAAACTTAAATAATAGAGTATAGTTACCTTACTTAGTTATCTCTTAGTTTAATAAGTTAAATAACTACTTTTAAGTAGTTTTATTTAATAGATGTTTACTTAAGTAGAGCTAGAACTTATATATATCCTTAATTAAAGAAATAGTAGCTTTATCTTTACCTATTTTAACTAACTTACCTAAGTTATATAATAATATTATATATAATACTTAATAGCGTTAAAACTAGATAGCCTATAGTTTATAATAACTTTAACTTTTAATATATTAATTCAAATAGGTATAGCTTAACGTACTAATATAGGAAGGTATCTTCTAATAATAGATAGCGTTATAAATATAATAGATTATAAAGTTACTATAAAAGGTTTTATGTAATAAACTTAATTAAGTTAATCTTTAAAAAATATATTATAATTTATCCTTTTAAGACCCTAACTATTTACTTCTAACTTAATAATAGAATTAAAAATATAAATAATTTATATAACTACTTATTTCTTCTTTAATAATTTAAACTTTATATATAAAGTTTTTAGTAACTTTAAATATATTTTTATAATCTTTTTATAAAAAATTTTTAAATCCTTCTTCTTTATTTTTATTATACTTTTTTATATTATTAAAAAGTTAGTAATTATTAATAATAAAAATATAGACTTAAAGGAGAATAAACTTATTATACATTCTTTTTATTTTTTTTATAAATTATTTTTAAAACTCTCTTTAAAAGTTTTAATATTTTATATAAAAGTTTTAAAGGCTATATATGATAAGATGTCGCTCAAGTAAAACAAAATTACCCATACTGCGAGAGCACTGCCACAGAGCGTCTGCGCTTGTATGGGCAAAGAAACAAACTTCGGTGAGACTACCCGAGTACTATGCTAGACTGTGGCGGTGTGTATTCTCAAAGGCAAAGAGATCCCCAGGCGCCTGAGGCCGCGCCATCTTACTCGTCGTTGTCCTCGACAGAAATTGGGATGGGCTTGTCAGAGTCAGATAGAACAGCAGTCCAACTCTGGCTACCAATTGGCCGGACGGTGATCTTAACGTCATGGTCTGGTGTCGGAATGGCACCAGCCATGGACGTCTTCTCAGTTGACGGTCGGGTCCACTTCCCCCTCACGGGCATGATTTCGAGCTGCAAGACAGTGAGAGCTGCGAAGGCCAGAATCTCACATGTAGCAAAATGTCGGCCGGGGCATAGAGTCGTTCCGCCGCCGAAGCCACGGAAAGCCACGGGGTTGTGTCGCTTGGATCCAGGCGCGCGGACAAAACGCTTGTGGTTGAACTTGGCGACGTCGGAGCCCCAGACCGATTGGATACTGTGCTGTACAGGCGCTGGCATCATGACGGTGCTGCCTTTCTTGAGGAGGTACTGGCCAACGAGCATGTGGTCTTCCAGCACCATACGGACCGAGTTGTTGATACCGTAGAAACGGAAAACTTCCTGAAAGGTCGACAAGAAGATGGGACAGCTGGTCTTGATGTAGTCCACGTCAATTTTGCAAACTCCCTCGCTCTCTTGAACGCCTTCGAGCAGTTCTTGACGGCAGTCCTTGAATAAAGTCGGATCCGAAAGGATCTGCCAGAGAAGCCAAAATGTGGCCGGAATGGTGTTGCTGAGGAGTGCAAATGAACCGCCGATCTCGGTTCTCGCAATGTCACTGATAGCAAGGTGGTTCTGAACATTGTGTTCATATCTTCGCCGAACGAGTTCAGATGCCTGGTTTTGACCGCCAGCTTTGAAATAGTCCTCGAAATTCTGCACCATTAACTCCCGCGCCTTGAGGCTTCTTTTGGCTGTGATTGCAGGGAGGAGATTGAGCATAAAGGTGGTAATTCTCGGCTCATAGATACTTTGGTTCTGGTCAGCATATTCCTCCACACTCCGGATGAGGTCACAGAGACTTACTACCATGCTTCCTCCATGGCCGGGTTTCTGTATGGATTCTGAGGCCCATACACTGCGTCTGTAGTGGCGAGCAAGACCTCATGCTGGATCCACTTGTACATGTCGACTGTGATCGGGCTTTGTCTTCTCAACTTGTCGAGAGAAACAGCAACAGCTCGAACAGACGCCCGATTCATGGCATCGAGTGCAGGTCCGGGGCTAACGGCTGGATGAATAGCCGTGTCAAAGCTCATCAAGTAGCCGTGGTCCTCCGTCATGTCTGTTGCCATTATGTCATTTGCGGTCTTACTTCCTCCCATAGCATACTTAAAAGCGCGAGCAGCAAAAGGCGTGAAGGCAACAGTGCGGAATTGTCGTTGGACAACGGGGATGAGGTTCGTCGAATTAACAACATAGATCCGCGCACCCGGCATTCGCAGGGTGTAGATCGGAAGGCCATACTTGTCCCTGGTCTCCGTGTCAGCGGAAGCTGTGCAGGTAGAATAAATCAGGAAAAGGTTACGAACATCAATCGTGTGTAGACGTCGGCTTTGTATCGGATCATTGCGATGATGGGGCTGAGGAAGGGGATGGTCGTCTCAATTGCCTTCGGTTCTTTGCCATCCTGAGTGAGCCTGAGCAGCACCTGCAACCCTAAAAATAGGAAGCCAACGCCCCAAAAGACGGCTGTGACGCCGGACGGCATTTTGGAGAGTCTGCGGAAGGATCGTGGACTGTGAGTTGCAATGTTTGCCAGAGAGGCCAGTGAAAGCGAGGGGAAACTAAGGGAGAAGAAGTTACGATATCGATCAAGCGGGACCACTGAGGGAGAAGGCCCACGGCATCCAGGTTTGCGAAACGTGCATCGATGGTATCAGGTCTCACATATCATTCGTGGGCAGAAAGTAGTCTACCAACGGCCCCCAAATGCTGTCACCTACCCGGGTACTTGCCGCGTAGGCTGTGCGAGTCTTGGCTGGTACGACCCAGCAGGCAGTAATCAATCAACCCAACCTATCAGCAACCGTAAGCATGCATGAAACCGGCTGGAAGTACTGTGTTGGTAATGTTTACTGCAGGTGGACAAAGCTCTGTTTCTGCTTAAGGTGCTTATCCAGCACGCCAGCCCACTGGGCGATTGCCGGTCTCTTTTAAATCACATATAGGCCCCCTATTCTACCCCTTCCTATTAGCCTACTCCTTAAATAGGTTAGTAATATTTAGGTATACAGTAGTTTTTATAAACTATTTATATAAGGAATTTATAAATAATATATTTAAATTAAAGGTTTATAAAGTATTTATTTTTTATTTTTTATAAATATACTTATTATTTAAAATATAATAGTTTATATTAAATTAATTAATATTATAAAAGTAATTTTATTAAATTTAAATTTTTTATTTTTAATAGGATTATATTTATTAGCTAGGCTTACGTATATAAGGGTAGAAGAAGTGGTGTTAGAAGTGGTTAATTACTAGTAACTAATTATTAGAGGGTTGCCTAAAGGGCCTATATAGGTGAATGCCTTCCCTGCTGACTAAGCCTAACAAAGGACTGTCACAACTATTATAATATTAAGTATAAATAATTTTTTAATATAATTAGTTAATTATTTTAATTAAAGTTTTTATAAAAACCTTTTAAAGTTTTTTTATAATATTATTATATTTTAATAAACTTTTTAATACTTAATAATATTATAATAATTTAGAGTTAACACTTAAGACTAAGCCTATAAACTACTAGAATAACTAATTATTAAATTAGTTATTATAATCTTTTAACTAAGCAATCTATTATATTAATAGTTAATAGAATTCCTACTATCTTAATAACTAATTTAAAGGGTGTAGGTTTAAGCCCCTATATTTAAAAAGATCTTATTTAAGGTATTAATAGGCTAATAAATACAGTATTTATAATCTATAATTATAATACTAAAATAGACTATTTACTCTAATAAAGTAACTTAAATATACTATAAATACCTATTCTATTTAAAAGATTTTTAAGCCTCTTATAAATACTTAATCTATCTCTAAGCTATCTAAATACTCTATAAAGCCTTAAAGGGGATTATAATAATCTAAAGTTAATATTTAAAACTAAACCTATAAACTATTAAAATAGCTAATTATTAAATTAGTTATTATAGTCTTTTAACTAAACGGTCTATTATATTAATAGTTAGTAGAATTCCTACTATCTTAAATATTAAAGAGTATATCCTCTATTAAATAGAAATTATACTATAAGAGTAAAAGTTTTTATATTAGTTTCTAAAATATCTTATAAATAAGATAAACTAACTATATTCACCTAAAAGTTTACATTCTAAAGAAGATTCCACATACCTATAATTAAACTATTTAAATACTATACTAAAAACCTATAGATCTATCTAACTATTAGTAGACCTTCTTATAAGTAGTTAGAAAGATATTGTTATTAGTTAACTAATTATAAATAGAGGGCTAACTATAAATAGATAGGAAATAAAGCCCTTAATTAATTAAATTTTTAAAAAATAGTTAGACTTAAAAAGTATTTAAAAAGTAATAAGTATTTTTATACTTTTCTTCTTTTTAATTATATAAAAAGATATACTAATAAGAATAAAATATTACCTTTTAAAAAAAGATTTATAAAAGGCTTAAAATAAAAAGAATATATATAAAAACTTAAAGGAACTTTAAGTAAAATATAAAGAAGTTATCCTTATTAAAAAGAATTACTATTTAATTTTAAGTTAGTTAGATAGCATACTAAAGCCTAATTAACTAGGAGGAGGCTACTTATAGTTAGGGAATTTCTTATGGTTGGCTAACTAATAACGGTATTTTTCTAGCTATTTATAAAAAGGCCTACTAACTATTGGAGTGGGCCACGGGCTTCCGCTACGGTACCCATTTACTACTCGTACCCCGCCGCTCAAGCACCGCCATTTACACTGACATAGGTTTGGCAAAGAAGCCTGTGCTACATTCTGCATGGGCGTCAGCCATGCAACAAATAGACCATAACCTGGTCAACTGCACTAGATGGCGGAGTGAATCAACACATAGGGTGGTATCAGACTGTTATCGCAGGGTTAGGGGTATATATGGCACAGGGCAGGGTGAGTGGGGATAAGTTTACAACACCCGGTGCATAGATTAGATTCACATGCCCGTCAGTGTGCCTCGGCCGATCTCAAAAATACCACACACAGATCAATCCTTCAACACTCACCCAAACCGCACGACGATCTTACCACCTCTGCACACACCACCCCGTGCGCCATGGCCTCGCAACGCCTGCGCCTCCTCGGCGCCCTGCTGGCTCTCGCCATCCCGACCATCCACCTACTCAGGCGCATCACCGCCCGGCGGCGAAAACTAGCCTCGGCAGAACGCGTGCTCATCCTGGGCGCGTCAAGCGGCGTCGGCCACGCCATCGCCAGGCAGTACGCCCGCCGCGGCGCGAGGGTGTGCGTTGTCGCGAGGCGGGCGGACAAGATCAGCGCCCTGGCAGCTGAGTGCAGCAGAATCATCACCAGCAGCGGCGGCGGCGGCGATGGGGCCAACGGCGGCTGCATCGGCGTGGCGGCCGACCTGAGCGTCGTCGAGGACATGGTGCGGCTCCGGGAGACCATCCACCGCGAGTGGGGCGGCCTGGACACGGTGCATGTGTGTGCTGGCGTGTCGGCGCTGCAGCCCGTGATGGCCCTCACCGGGGTTGAGGGGGAGCACGAGGATGCTGCTGCCAAGGGGATCCAGGATGCCGTTGACATCACTGCGAAGGCGGTCCAGGGCAATCTCTATGGGCCCATGGTTGCTGCGCTGACATTTGTGAGTTGTTAATATTGGCATGGCCTTCCTTGGCGCCACCTTCTCACGACTTCATGACAGACTGTGAGACTGACACATCTCAACAGATCCCCATGCTGACACGCACATCTACCGCGCCCGCCATCGTGCTCGTCTCTTCCCTGGCTGCTCTGGTGCCAGCACCGACCCGGGCTCTCTACGCCGCCACCAAGGCCTCATCACTGCTCCTCTACCAGGCCATGGCCATAGAGCACCGGGACATCGCTTTCACTTTCATCATACCAGCTACCATCGAAGGCGACTTCCGCGCATCAGCCGTCGACTCCGGCCCTGTGCGGGAGGCCGACCCAAACAAGCACGGGCTCAAGATCGGCTACGTTGCAGCCCAGTGCATCGGTGCCGTCGACAATGGTGTGAGGGGCAACGTGATCATGCCTCGGGTCCCATATGTTTTTGCCCATCACTTGTATTACATCTGGCCGTCGCTGATTGAGAAACTGGCAGCGAGGAAGTACAATTTCGTCTATTGAATTAGATGGCAAAGATAATCTGCATGCTCGGATTGTACTTCTTGAGTTGACAGTTTCGACGTCCGTCATGGTGGTCCAGGGGCTCAGATTTGCCGCGGGCGATGTGACATTTCCCCGATAGCCGCGTATACATATAGCTTCAAATGTTGGCTACCGACTTATAGAGGGCTTGATTCATAATCAACAATATCCAGGCCGAATTACGCACTTTCAGCATACACCTGCTCGGCGCAATGTCGCAAAGCCTGCAAGAGCACACGTATGACCCGGCCGCTCCGAGTCCTGTTTCTCTGGGCGTCAGACCAGCATAATAAGGCTGCAACTCCTCAGATTATGCGCCGTGCACGGAACGTGAGGTGTTCTTGCTGTTGGGTCTACCTAAACCTTATTATTGGCAATGCTGGGCTCTTGCATCTATAGTAGTGCAATATAACTCTCCGGCGGCGAGAAGTGGCATCATAAACCGAGAGAGACCCAGTGGTCACGTTCAGTCCCAGTGAATGATCAAGGTACATGCACATCATGGTTGAGAACATTCAAATGTTGAGAATCCAGTCTACTTTTTTTACCATCGCAGTATATTGGTCAGTTCTCAGACGTTGATCTCAGTAACTACAACCAGTCTATCTCTTCCTTCATCCAATCCGCTGTATACAATGTAGTAGTGTATGGGAGGTACACCACCACCCAAGTCAATGGGACTGATAAAATTGCCAGATATTAGTGCGAACCAACGGCCAAGAATGAAAATAGCAGCAACCTGCAACTAATGTTCGATTCTATCACATCGAACAGGGATTACTGGTCAGCAAAGGGAAGTAATGCTCACTCGGCACTCAGAAAGGCATATCATGTCTAAACTTGTTTCTAGGTACCCACGGGTTTGGGTTCTGCTTACCAATTGCTGGCGCCAGAACTTGAAGGCATAGGGGGTAACCGAAGGTCTGGCCCCTGGGCACTACTACCCTAGGATAGGATAGCCACAAGCACGTAATATATTCCTGGAGATATTACGGCAATAGTCAGGGTTCTAAGTATCGGCCTCGATCACAGTACCATCATCAAATCTTTGTGCGCTGATGTTCTTCAACTACCTCAGATCATACAATGCGAATCGACCGCTTGGGCATGGGCGCTCTTCCCACCTGGACCCCGTGGCAATCAACGAAAGTATGAGTGAGCTTACCGCTTGTCCTACTTGAAAGTGACCGTTTATACTGACTGTACATTTCCGGACCACATCTTGATCTTTTGAACACGAGCATCTTTACGGGTGACGCCAAGCGCATCCTTCCGCCGTATCCCGGTACTTAGTTATCGACGCCCAGAACCCCCGACCTGCCAGCGCAGTCTTTGCTGACGGGTTCTGAGATATTACTTCTCCATTTTATGCAAGACCTGGCTAGCTCTTGTCCCCTTGCTCTCCCCACGATGCAACAGAACCACTTTACTCTTGGCTCTCTCCATGTGCCATGAAACCTACTGAAGCCTAATCCCTCACTTGACTTCATCGGACGAAACAGCCCGACCCAACACCTTCTTCAGCGCCCACGACGAAGCCGACTTTGATCAAAAGCTCGCCCAAATTTGTTGGGAGTGGGAAGACGTCGTCGCTGCAGGAGAGTACCTAGGCGCCTTCGTCCTGTTGGTCGCACCAGCCAATACCAGGCCCGTGCTCGTCAATATTACAGGCGAGCAAGACCAGGTGTTCTGTGGAGTCGGCAGACCCACACTGGGCGTCTGGGCGTGTGGAGACATGTTGTCCGAGACGGGCGAGATCTTCCCCAATGCCGAGTGGAACTGGGAGGGGATTGCCAGCACTGAGGAGGGGTCACTCGGTCGACTTGTGTTTATATCTGCCTCGGAGGCCCTTAGGTTCGTTCATGATGTTCAGGCTGGTGCGAGGTTTGACGGGCGAGGGAAGCTGCAGGTGCAGTCGGTAGTGTGATCCAGAACTGTCTAAATGGCCAACTACGAGGGTCCAGAAGACGCCTGGGGAGATGACGAAACGGTGGGTTGCCATGATTGAATCCGCAACGGGGCAAAAATGCCAGAGATGCGGGTGAACCCGCTGTTTGAATGGCATATATGTGAGAAAAAGAGAAAACATCAAAAGATCTAGATATTGTTCAGGCTGTTCAAACTAAATCAGAGCCCGGCAGCCGTCAGGTTGGATGAGATGGGCCCAAAGATGCGTTTGACGTCCCTGTTCTTGAACTTCCACGTTCCGTCCACCTCGACAAAGGTGTCAAAGTACTTGGCCCACGTCTGCTGCGCGTAGCCTGGATTCACAACACCAAGCTTGTTCCATGTCGCGCTGCGGGTAACAGACCACATTAGTAAATGGGTACCTCGTTGAAAAGCTTCTCTGGCATGGTTACTTACTAGCTGGTAGCGTTTGCCGTCCCGTCCTCGTTGAACGTGATCAGGCTGTTCACATAGGTATGCACCAGTGTGAAGGAGTTGTTCAATGCGTCCTGCTCGAAAGCAATGATGTCCGCAAGGCCGCTGTGCGCGCCGCCAGTTGGGAAGTTGACCGAGGCATCGTCGGCGTACACGAGCCCCAGGTTCGTCAGGTCCCTGGTGTCAAGCAGGAAGGCCTCCAGGGCGAGAGTGTTCCGGATCTGCTCGTAGGGCGAGAGCGTCGGGACTGCGCCGCCCGAGCTCTGCGCTGCGGCGAGGCTGGAGAACAGCAGGGTGAGGGAGGGGAGTGAAATCTGCATTTCTTTTTCTATTTCGCGGAGCGGCCTGGTGAATACACTTAGCGAGCGGCGGGTGGTCTTCGATTCTGGCTGGGAAGATGTGCTTCCTTCGACGGCAATCAGAAAGATCGTGAAATGTGACGTGCAGTGGTTGTTTACTTCACCTTTGTTGTTTCCTGCTTCTTAAGGGGTTGCCAGAGGGTCTTATATCATGAAGGCGACATGTATGTCCTCCAGGACGTTTGTAAATCCGGGCGGTAAGCTATGTAGGGCCCTGGCAGGCATGCCTCTTAACTTTGATCCCTGAACCTGATGAATAAATCGCGGGTTCGTGTTTAGCACTCTTATTTGTTTCCGCGTTTGGGCTTACATATGTACCTAGGTATGAATGATCATCCAGCCATTCCTAACACGCGATCGCCCGCTTGCGCGTCCTGCTCGGCGGAAATTATGAGTCGCCTACATGGTGTGTGTGACCAATACTCTTTGCAGGCATCAAAGGCAGCTAGTAAGCTGGGCATGGACATTATCCCCCTTTGGACCTTTTAGAGTTGTCCATGTGCGATACCCCAGACCGGGTATGAAGCCGTGGCGCTAGCTAGAGGAACGCGTGTGCCAAGTTCCAACCGTCCGGTAGAATGATTAACCGGCGACTTCGGCCATAATATGCAGTGTTAGGACTGCGGGAACCTCTTCGCCGAGGCCGCTTTACATCCATTCACGCTGCCATCTCGCAATCACTTGCAAATGAATTGAAATGAAAATGCTTACTCATCGCAGTATCTGTTAGCTATTATTAATCTATGACTCCTAACACTGAGGACACGTCCAAAGAAGATGTTATTCATAAGATCATGAATCGTCCAGCTGGGTAGCCAGAGGTCTGATTCATTGCTTGTCTGCCCACTTTTTCCATACTGTATTCTCTTTCCACTGTTATTGGCACCGTATTTCTTCAAACGCTGGGTCTTGAGCGTTTACCACTGTATGAAGGCGCCACGTACATTTTACATGTGTGGGGATTAAAAACGAAACCACTTCCAGAACCCCAGAATCGTCGGCGACCCCGGAGGAATGGCAGACCACAGTTGAGACGGGACGGCGCGTGCCGACTTTAGCTACCTAGTTAAGTAGGTATCTAGAAACCTCGTCTGTCAACTTGAGGCCTCTACGCGTAATTCGATAAATCGGGTCGCATTGCAGACACTGGGAACCAGCTAGAACCAAAACTACACCAGGTGATACTACCATCAAATCGACATGACCAACAATCCATCCTCTCCAGCTGGCATCGAGCCAGTGCCAGCCCTGGAATTCGTCGCGGGGCATGCGCGCTCGGAACAATCTTGACACGCCATTCATGGCGATTAATATGTCGTCTGTGAAGATCGACTTCAGGAACCGCTCCCAGCGAGACTTCGTATGCGTTGTCGATGCTCCGGCGGCCCTCGTGGTTCGTTTTTGTCTCGAACGATCGCGTCGGCGTAGCTTTGCCAGCCTGGGTTTCCGACAGTTCCGGGTCCACTTTCTTGGTAATACAACCTGTGGATTCGCACCTGCGGAACTGGGGGATTTCTTGAGGGTAATATTATCTTTGGCTTCAACTCCAGCGGTAGGGCCCGTTGTCTAAAATAGTTTTACAAGTTGTGCAAATTACGTCTTCAAGAAGGCGTTGACGAACCAATATTGATGTCTACTGGTGGGATTGAATGTCGTGGGTTATCATGGTGTACCAATGAAGCCTTGAGGAAAATCGCGATTCTTCTCCTTTCGTAGGAACAAATAGTAATAAGAGTCGGTGACTCTCCAACCTGTTGATATGCAAAGCCAATAACGCCAGTCTCTTTAATGCAACATAAGATACAATATAGTACAAGTCTAGGCGGCAGCGCTCGAGTCGCTGACCATAATTCAAGCCTTCCCCCTCGTGACGATCTCAATGTCGTCCTCTATTGTATCCCTCGATGATTCCCTAGCCACCCACGTTGATATCCCGGATACCGCCTCGATAGGATTGTCCAAGTGCATCTGGAAGAAGCCCTGGAGCTGGGAGGGCGTGAGTTCACCCTCTGGGATATGCTTCGAGAACTCGGCCGCCAACCGCTGGAGTGCGTCCACGTCCATATCCACGGATGGTCCCCGCACGTCAGAAGCAAACATCCGCATGAACATCTCCATCGCCGATTTGCGACTGATATTGCCTAGGTGGACCTTGAGATCCACGCGGCCTGGTCGTATCAGAGCCGGGTCAAGCAGCTCAGGCTTGTTCGTCGTCATGATGACGATGCGGCCCTCCTGCGAGCCAACCCCATCCAGGACGTTCAGCAGCCCCGAGAGCGTGCAGTTCGACCTGGGGCTGTGGCTGCCGCTCGACCCGATCGTCCTGTCCTCCCTGTCGGGCAGGTCGCGGTCGCCAGCCCACACCGCGTCGATATCCTCGAGGAGGACGATGCACTGGGGCGGAATCTCCTGGAACATCTGCTCCAGGTCTGCGTCCGAGGCCACGCTGGGAATCTTGACTTCGTAGAGGTCGAGGCCGAACTCGCCCGCGAGCGCAGTGGACAGCGAGGACTTTCCCGTCCCCGGAGGACCGTAAAAGAGGTAGCCCCTCCGATATGGCATGCTCCTGCTCTGGTAGCGCCGTTGTGTCTCGATATCGAGGTACTTTCGGATGTCGGACAGCAGGCTCTTCTTGACGTCCTCGTCAAAGTGGACTGTCTCCAGCAGGCGGATAGGCTTCCTTGACTTGGGCTGCCACGAGATTCCGTACCGGTCTCGTGAGTAGATCATCACATAGAACTGGGTCTGCTGGTCGGCAAAGTCGCGACACGTCTGGACCAAAGAGCGGATGGGCTCGGCCGACCGCCCCAGGCAGCTGATGGTGAGGTCCTCGCCCCCGATCCCGTCGTACCCCGGGTCGCACATGGACGCATTGAAGCTCTCGAGGGACCGGTGGACGATGAAGACACTTCCGTCCTTCCAGAACCATACTGTCTCGAAGTGCGGCAGGTACTGGACCTGTCTCTGCGTCTTCTTAAGCGACGCGGAGTCAGGCACATCTCCGCGACCGAGCCTGTCTCTGATTTCCGTGCGGGCGGTGAAGAAGCGCGTATTATTCCGGGGTTGGACGACATGAGTCAACACCCAGTTGACAACGCTCTTGTTCAGAGGGTCTCGGCCAGGTATGGTGACAGAGGCGACAAAGAATTGTCTGATCCAGCTGTATGTCTCCCTCCAGGCGCCGTGGAGCAGCCGCCACGCTGCCGGGATGACGCCGGCGATTGCTATGAGGGACCCGAGACGAGTGATATCCAGGTGGGCGAGTGACGGCCAGTACGCAGTGACAGCCCCGAGGAGGCCCTGGATGGACGGCTCCGTGAGTCTGAAAGCCGGGACGGCACCTCCGGCGTGGAACGGCTGGGCCATGGGTTCGGCTTTCGGGGCTTAATCGGCCCAATGAGAAAAAGTCGGAACCGAGGAAAAAGGGGTCGCATGAACGACAAGCGCCGCGCGTGCGGCACGACCCAATGGGAGGCACCTATAGTCGGCGAACGAGGAATTAATGGGCAAGAGAAAACATTACAGCTACATCTCGAAGTTTAAAGAGCGACGTGAAGAGGAATGCCAAAACGAACGGGAAGTCGGAAAGTTATTGATGGTTGATGGAGGTGAGATTGGGGATTTCGATTAAGGTCACGTAGCCGAAGGGGCCCGTCAGAAACTTTAATGAGGCGCCAGCTGTTGCCAGCTGTAAAGAGCGGAGCGTATCAGCTGGCACAAACATCACGGTCTCGCTCATCTGAACCAACCACTCGCGCATCACCAGCCAAACTGGTTACGTTTTTCATCTTTTCAATTACCCTACTGAGTAATACTAGCAGTTGGCCATGTATTTAGTAAAGTAACTAGAAGAGGATCATTGTGGCCGGAAACAGCACAGCCCCAATGAAGTTCTGAAGGTCCCCACCAGTTGACAGCCAGAAACAGTCGAAGTTGGGGCGCCAACTTTTTCATTCCAAAGTGGATGAGATATGACGGATATTCAGTAGAGCGCGCCTCGAATATTGTTTTTGTTAGCTGTGCAGAAGGCACATCCATCCATACACATGCCACGGCTGTCTTTGCACATCAACAACGCCACTTTATTGTTTCTCGGTGAATTATCAGACTCTCCTAACTTTAAACCACATGTTGTCGCCCACAGCACTTGTTTCTGGGTCCACATTTATATGGACAGTCCGGCTCAGTCGGACGGACTGAAGATCTGTCCAGGTCCAGTGGACGGTGATATGGTGATCAGTGTGTGAGACTCCGTTATCGTCTGTCTATGTTGATTCGTGAGATCTACCACTGTTGTCGCTAGGATTCATGTAAGGTCAGCAAGCCAGCACTCTAAGATAATAAACATTCGGTTGATCCAATTACTGCGGCAAGCCAATAACATATAGTTAGTGAGGCTCCGCGTTTGTAGGAACCAGCTCTGACTGTTTCCACAGCACAAGTCTCTTGACCAACCCCTTCCTGGTCAATAGGACAACCTTCGATTCCTTAGGTAGGGCAGGTGCTGATGCACCCGCAACCAACAGTGAAGAAGAAGAAAACAACGAGAATCAAGAGAAGAAAAAAATTGATGCCATAGGGAAGGACACGCCGACAATAGTTGTCGCCAGATATGTCAGCCGCTGAACCCTGAAAAGAGGGCTCGTAGGCCATGACTCCCATCGCAGCTTCAGCTTCTGAGAGGCCAGATGTCCCTTGAGGTCGTCACAAGATCTGTCATGGCAGCGACGGAGGCGTTGCTTCATGGGTACCATCCCCCACGATGTGTTTCTTCAGGGCAGATGGCCAGTTGGGTGCCCTTTTTCCCCAAAGATAGAGGCCGGGAGGGCATTGTGCCGCAGACGGTCCCATTCTCGTCCTTCATGTTGGTAGTCACATTCTCCAGAACAGCGGCAGAGCGTACGCTGTTGCCACACTTATCACCGCAGGCCTGGTCTGGTGGTAGGCCTGAAACTGCCTGAGATCTGAAGCGATATACCAGCGGAGCCGTCATCCCCCACCCACTGGAACAGCCACCTGGAACAGCCACCTGGAACAGCCACCTGTATTAACCGCCATTCTACGTTTGTCCATCTCGGTGAAGACAATAACATATGTGCAGCGGCGCAGTGGCCTAAACCCGCAGTCAACACCAACGCTTGTCAGCTTGATCATCAAGGACGGGACGTCTTCAAACTGTCAGTGAAATCGTCGTTCCTGCTACTGTATAGCTTCCTTCGCCTCTAATTGCAGATATGGCAATGAGCTCTATCCGAGGTTATCGTGAAAATATAGAATGAAAGACGTGGTCTTACATCGATGCCAAAAGGGGATGCTGGTGTGACCAATGTCACACCTTGGGATGTGGCTTGGCGATCCTTCCACGACCATGTGCATATATGGATGTAATTTCGATGTCCCGTTTCCGATGTCTTTTCGTGTTTATCCGAGATTCTGATGCAGGTACTCTCGTCGGCATCGATCACCATCACCTTGGTCACCAGGGACTGCTGCTTGTTGGATGTTGCGTGCTGGGAACGGCGCTCAGCGGGTTCCTGGGGGTCTAACATGATGTTCGAAGCACCGTGGCTGTAGGGGTTTTCCTGGCTTCCGCTACGTTCTCTTCAGACATCTGCTAAGAATTATAGACCAAGAAAATGTCTGCGCTCAATGAAAACTGGTGATATTTCGCTGTTACATGTAACTACCTAGGTACCCTTGCAGCTATAGGTCATTCTTCAGATATATTATTTAGAATGTCGAAAACTTAGCCCGATCATGGAAGCTGACATCCATGGATGCCAGCCCCGTCCGCCATGTTTCGAAGTTATTACTCAGCACTTCATCGCTTGCGGAAAGTGGCGGTATTTTGAGCTCATCGAAAACGTCAGTATCCAACGGGTAATTACATTCCTGTCTGTCTCTTGCAGTCGACTTGGCCCCATGACCCACTGCGACCTGCGTCAATCCGTCACATCGGGACCTCGGACTGAGACCGGTCACAATCCTGCATACCTGGGTACTTGAGTAGGTATGTACTCATTACGTCGACTTCTTGTCCAAGTTCGTCAGGCTGTATTCGGGGTAACTCGCCTTGTACCTGCAGGAAGAAATCAGCTCACTTGCTCATACATGACCAAAGCCAAGCTCAGAAGCTGCGGGACAGGACAGAAGGACATTCCCACTAACCCGAGCAGTCCGGCCCCCACCCAATAAGCCAAGACGTGATGCAGCGCGACCAAGAGCCACACAGGCGTCCAGAACGGGGGCGTCAGCACCATGTCGCTGTGATACATGAACAGCATGATCTGGAAGACGGACGGCGCCATCCTGTGTCGCTCGCAGTCCCGCACGTAGCCCGTGACGTTGCGCATGAACGACTCGTCGACGCCGTGGTCGAGCCCCTGCGGCTCAAACCAGAATGTCACGATGAGGTCCTCGGTTGAGGACTCGTGTGCCCAGAATCGGTGCCTGCGGGGTGGTGCAACAACGAAGGAGTGAGTTAGCATATTATCATATGAGTCAGCTTACTTTATGTTGGGGGGGGGGGTTCCTCGTTCTGAACGTTTCAGCTTGGGTATGACGGATGCGAACACCGTCTGAATCAGCCTCGTAAACGACGAGCACAGGTTCCACACACATACCTCGCCCCACAAGGCACAACAATACGGCCGTCGTCCTTGGAGACAGCATGTTCCTTCCCGTTAAGCACGACCCCGAGCACGCCCTGCTGCACCTCGAACGTCTCCTCCTGCCGGAGGTGGATGTGCAGCGGCGGGCCGGACCTGCCCTCTCGGACTCCCTGGTTGCGGATGCGGTGCGTCTCGCGCACGGCGCTGACGCCCGCCGTGTTCTTGACAAAGTCGTGCTTGACGGCGTCGTCGGCCGTGAAGAGGGAGGCCTGGTGGGCTCTGTTCTCGCGCTGGGGCGGTCGGGGCGAGAGCCATTGCTGGAGCCTGCTTGGTGGCATTTTCGAGATGTTTCTGGAGACGATGTTGATGTTTATCGAGTCTTGTGAATAATGGGCATAATCTCAGATATTGGGTTAGCTGAGCCGTTGACTTTTGAGGTCGTTCGTCTTGCGAGCCAGCGTTCTGAGTTGGACGCTCCTACTAGTTAGTCTCTAGCTCGAGGAACTGCTGACATACCTACGGCCTCGGCCTTTACTAGAGCGAGTGAAGGGCATGCGAAGGGCGCGTGAAGGGCCAATTACCAATCAACACATGAGTGTGTATCTGATTCTGTTGGATTTGAAAGCCTAGCCTTCTGCATATCGTTTTGCAGCAAAATGCATGCCAGAAAACTGCAAATGTAAAGAATTCTGTTCAATTTACAGGCCCATAATGAATTGGCACCTGGCCCCGAGCGTAACATTCGAACATTGAGTGCTAGGAGGACCGACAGCACAGAAACGCAAGATAACTGCATAGGCAAGATAGTACAAAGCTTTATTTGACATCATTTTCATTATGACCCCATGCGTTGGTGTATCAAGTGATTAAATACAATAAAATGCTCCTCCACAATTAGACTCAAATAATTGCACATCCCAACATCACATGCCCATTGTCCATTTTACATGTTGGCAAACAGAGCAGCACCACCAAACAGGGCACCCATACCAACGGCAGCGGTCTGCCTGGGGCCGAAGTTGTCCGAGGCGGCAGACGAGGCGGCCGAGCTCGCGCTCTCGCTGGCGCTGGAGGCAGCACTGCCGGCGGCCTCGGTGGCCGAGGAGGCGGCGGCCCCGGCGGAGCTGGTCAGGCCGGCAAGCTCAGAGGAAAGGGAGGAGGCGGCGTCGCCGGTGGCGGTGGACAGCGCTGCGGAGATGGAGGAGGCCTTGCTCGCGGCCTCGCCGGTGATGGACTCGAGGGCGGAGGACGCCTCGGCTGAGGCGGAGGACGCAGCACCCGAGGCCTCAGAGAGGATGGACGACGCGAGGGAGCTCGCTGACTCGGAAACGCTGGTGGGCAGGAGGCTGGCATCGGTGATGGTGGGGCCGGTTGTCTCGGCATTGTCTTGGGCCTGGATGGACAGTTAGTATCGTCGGGGATGGAGTGAGGGGTCTATATGGGTGGGAGGACGGCATACCAGAACCAAGGGGGCGACAGCGACGAGGAGGGTTGAGAAACGCATATTGGCGGTGGGTTGGGGTTTGTGTGGTGTGGGTATGTGGATATGGATGGAGCTTAAGTAAAGGATAGACAGTTAAGCGTTCTCGGATTTGAAATAAACTCTGGATCTAGCAGCTCCCAAGACTGCAAAGGGAGAGGGAGATGCCGACCTTTTATGCCCGTCAAGGTGACATGGGCAAAGTGTACTCCGTAGGTCCAGAGCACTTGAGGTCTTGGCTTGCTTGGATCGCTGCCGCACATGGTGGCTGCGGGTACCAAGCCGGGCAGCGGTCTCACCGTGTTGACCCAGTCCGCCCAGTGCGCCTAATAGAGCACAGCTCCAATGGCGAGGGCTGAGGCGCACCGGGATATCGGATGAGCGGCACCAAACAACATCATGAGCCACGGCCCGCGGTGACGAAAGCCCGCCCAACTGGGCAAGCTGGGCTGGCTGCTGCTGGGGGAACTGTCTGACTTGCCTGCTTGCCTGACCGGGGCCACATCAGGCGAGGTCCATCCTGCCAAGTAAGTGCCGTGCGGAACAAGGATGCAACCAGCAACCTGGCAACGCAGGCCCGTGGCAGGATCCCCTTCGTTTCCATGCCGAGCTGGGACAGGAAGCCAGGGAAGCGAGCATCATCTGGGGTCATCCAATCCGGGGCAGAAAGGGAGAGCACTGCCCATGTCGATCCAGCGCCAGCACCAACAGAAACAGCCAGACAGCTCGCTGCCCACTGGCTGACTGGCCGGCCTGTCTCGCTGGCCCGGCAGCTCCTTTTTTTAGTAATCGTTCAGCCTGTTGGGTACCGTTCAATGTTGGGGATCCTTGAGAATGTACACTATAATTCTGTCGAGCCGGCCGTAGTACACGACTCACGGTACTATACTGTGTAGACTACTGCATTGCCAGGCAACAATCGTACCTGGGGAGTCAGCTCCCAGGAACCGGAGCCTGCAGCAGGCCTGATGAGCAGCCCGGCAGCCTGAGCAGCAGCTGGCTGATCTCAGCTCCAAGCTGCGGAGTCGCCAAGACAAGCCTCGGTTTGAGCTGTCAAATATGGGGCTGCCGAGCACGTCCGCCAATGGCCCGAGCTGTGCCTGCTGGGGTGTCATGCGGGTTACCGCGTTCCCAGACAGGGCATAGGTCACAAGGTCAGTCCTACCGGGCGAGCAGGTCGTGCCACTGGTTCCGTCATGTTGATGTTCGATGGTGCTATTACCGGTGCGCCGCCATATTCTCGGCCCTGCTCGTCCCCCCGGTGATCCAATTTAGTTCGGATCTCTGCACATTCCTTCCAGAAGGACTTTAGTGACAGGGTGGCAAGGTGGGCTACCTCAATTGCTGTTCAGTGGCTGTCCTCCCTCGATCGTGGTGGCAGTGTCCCAGATCCAGGCTTCAAAGTTCTTCTATATCCGAGCCCGAGCAGGTGCGAGGGGGATGCTTATGTGTGTAGCCGCATAATATGGGCCCCGGGGAAGGATGCACAGGCACCAATGCCGGTGAGAAAGCCCACAGCTCCATCTAGACGATCGAGGCGCCGCCACTCAGTTGAGACCGACGACGCCCGAGAGAACTGAGGACTCACCTGCTGTAATACTCGCCTGAGACTGCACAGCACCCCGCTGCCGCAGCCCTGCCCTCCGCAGCCTGCCAGCCTGCTGCTGTCCGGACTTGTCATATTCCAGAGTGCTGGCTCATTGGCACGAGCCCCTTGTGCTAGTGCTTATATTGCCACTTTGCGACGCCTGGGCGCGCCAACACTTGTCCCGGGCCAATTACGTCGGCCGACGTCATTCGTCGATCCTCTTCTGTTCCTCTGACGACAATCGAGATGCGTTGCATGGATTCCCTCTAATTGGGTTTCGTGTGACAGCTTGGGGAGTTCCTTCTTGTCCGTCGGGAAAAATCACCCAGCAATAGTAACTCCACAGTCCGAGTGCTAGTCCCTCAGTTCCCTCCCCATTCCTCGGCGCCGTTGCTCGTCCTTCAATGTTCCCTCCCGATCGTAAGACACATGATGCCGACAGGGGGCTGCCACTCAGCCCACTGCGCCCCGGAGCTGCCGGCCAACCAGCCAACCACCGCCCCTGAAAAAGGCTCGGCACGCACTGCATTGATCGTCGCAGGGATCGTGGGGAAAGACGTTGGCTGCAACCTTCCTTTTACCGTGTAGGCAGGTAGGCCACTCCCACCACACAGCCGAATACGTGTGGCTCCCTCTGGTCGGTGGGTGGCGTCTACCCGTCCGTCTAGTCAGCTAGCCTCTGCCGGCATGCTGCCATGGGCCATTCACAGCTTATGTCCGCGGAAGCCTAATGCAGTGCAGACGAATACGACCGTCTTGGGTGTTTCCAAAGCCTGTGCAACAAAATCTAAAACCCAGAGTTGCGGTTGGCCCTTGGTTTCACGTGCGGTGCCACAGGCCTCGCAACAAGACTTGTTGTCACACCCGCGGGGCTTGGAGCGTCAGCTCATTGGTTTTGAACACCCATTGTAGACTACTCCGTACATCTGGCTGGAAACAAGGGCCCCCCACTTACGTGTTGATTTCCTGCTCCGACAATGATGCATGCATATACACGTAAGCTTTCATAATTTAAGTAATGTTTACATCCCCGCAACCAGTCGCACAGCGTCCTCGGTCTAGAATGCGAGGCCAAAGAGGACAAAAGCCGTGACCCCATTGCGCATACTTGTCCATAATTACATCAGCTTGATAAGGTTGAGCACTAGCTGCGCATACATGAGTTCAGCTAAGCCATGAAACATGTCTTTTTTATGTCGTATAACTCTTACTCCATCAGTACTGAACACCGGGCAAATCTCCCGAGCTGCATGCTACCCTGGAGCCGATTGATGAAAGGCTCTTTTCAGGAATGTGCATAGATATTTCCACAGCCGCCGAAGGAAAGCCGTTATAGTCGTCAAGCCGCCGTCGACTATGGTTACAGCACACTACTAGGAATTGCACGACCCGCACCCTTGAGAGTCGTGATTACTTGACACACGCCTTACACATGTATAATATCTTGTTACCTGGAACCACAGGAACCAGAATGTTGACTCTAATAAATCAGTATACTAATCCAAAATTTGTAGACATTCCTAGGGACATCTCGAAGTACTAAGGGGTTGATCGAAGCAGCCCATAGTTACATTTGCTCGGAGTGAACTACTAAACTCGGACATCTCAACAGGCCTTCAAATTCCCTTAGCGCCAATCGAACGCAAATATTGCAATGGCCGGTGACTGAGTTCAGCTTCAAAGATGAATCTAATAAATAATAATACCAAGGGGAATTGCGATCATCGGTATGTCGTTCAATCACTGATGTTTATCAAGACTAGTCAGTAGGGGGCAGCCTGGGCCAAAAAACCCCAGTATTTGGTGCTGTACCTTATGTTGAGGTAGAACGAGAAGCCATACGTCCATACATACACCTACCCAGGTATCCCGCCCAAAAGAGACCCTCACATCTGCGGAATAGAATAGAAGCGAAACCAGTCAGCCCACTGCCAAAACTTAAAACATTACAACAGCCAACCGATTATTCGAACTAACAGCAACATCGGTCCCCCACACATTATCAATGTACGCATTCTCAACCCCAACCTTCTGCTTCAGATAACCCACAGCCTCCTGGTTCAAAATCTTTCCCATGCTCCAAGGCGTGGCGATAACAGTCTCCCCGTCCCCCTCGCGCGTGGTCTTGGCCGCCTCAGGCGCCGCCCCGACAACATCCGTACCCTCGAACCCAACCTTGGCACCGCTGCCACCCCCGTCCGCCGGCGCCACGGTGGCAGCCCCGTCGCACCCGGCCTGCAGGCTCACGTCCCCCCACGCGTTGCCATCGTCCGCCCTGATCTGGACCTCGACCCACGTGGCAGGCATGTCGGTGGCGCGGACGATGCGGCCCTTGAAGTCCGCCCCGAGGGACACGGACGCGGTCCGTGAGGGCTTGACGGTTACTTTTGTCACCATGTTGGTGCAGGGGATGCCCGGGTCGGCTGTGCCGTCGCCGTTGGAGATGTTGTTGCAGAAGAAGTAGGTTGCTTCCTTGTCTGAGGCGTTGGTTAGGTCTATGCCTGGGTTGGAGGAGGGGCCGGTTCGGGGGCGGACGGCGGCGGCTGCTGTTACGGATGCTAGGGCCGTGAGGCCGTTTATGATTGTGTAAGGACGCATTTCCTATGTGTGGGGTGGGCTATAGTAGGGAAGGGGAGCGGTAAAACAGCTGGCGGTATGGGGAAACGAGTGGATTCAACGAGTAATGAACGTGGAGTAATGAATGTCTAGTAATGAACGTGGACCACCAGAGCAACGACTGCATCAATCTGTGATGTATTGGCAAGTCTGGAAGAGAGAAATAGGACAGGATGATGGGGGCGATGGAGTTATATCGACATTGAATCTTGCTAGTTAGCAAGATTCGGTACGAATCGACGTGAAATTGGTCAAAGACAAGGTCCGCCACTCAGAGGGCGACCATACCCCTGGCCAAGACCACCTGAACGCTCATCCAAACATCCATCGGTGAGTGTTAGTGGAGGAAACAAGATGTCCGCATGACAGGCCAAGTACCTAGGTACATGAGTTTGATTCGGATACCATAGTCGACGGTTTGCTGAGTTGGTAGCAGCGTGGGACGCTCTTGTGGTACACTTGTACTAGATACCTCTCAGAGGCAGCAGAGTTCTTGGGTAGAAAAATGCCAATTGGAGGATCTGAAATATTTAGTACGAACATGATCCTTCAAGTTATGCTAATATAAAGAAGTTGGTGTGTTAATTTTATTTCCAGTGCTGGATCCGGGTTCTGACGTGAGCCGGACATAGCTGCACAAAATTATCTGTGGGATCACCGTCACAGGGGTAAAGCTAGCCACAGCGAGATAATACAGGAAGAGTTTTAATCATTGACAAATTAAACCATGAGACCAAAGCTTCCTAGAGACAGGTCTGCCTAGCAGAGCGTTGTCAGTTCATCACTCGTTGACAACAAGCCCACGTGCCAAACCGTCGTTGAGGGCCGTCGAACGATCCTAGACCCTATCGTACCGCTGACGTGGGATCCCGCGTTCCATGCCCTCTCAAAGACTTGTATCTCTACTGCGTGTTGTGGTTCCAGACCCGGGGCGATGGATCCTACGGCCCCAAAACAGACCTTATCACGTTCCTCCACCCGTCAGCCCGGCCAGCCTCACTGGCAGGGGCCATTGAGATTTCTGGAGGTAGAGAAGCTCCATCAAAACCCTGGGCCGATTGTTTCTTGCCATGAAACAAAGCCACTAGGCCATTCTTTCGCCGCCTCAGGGCCAGATGGTTGCATCAACGCACACGACCCCGATGCAGTTGTGGTTCTACCTGGGCCGAGGCGGTGGCGCCATTCGGGGACTCCAAATACAACATAAGGAGAAGTACCTATGACTTCCTCGCTAATCCTGACTTTCAGCGGTCAAAATGAAGAATTCCCGAACCACGGTCTAAAAACAACGAGATCTCTGAAACGGAAATCTCACGCTGCTATAAGGGAGGCGCGATTTCTGCCCAGGAAGGACTGGGCGACTGGGCACGGCTCCCAGCACTTAAACTTAAAACATATCTATTATTATAAATATAAAATAAAATTAAATAGACTTTTCTAGCTAAATACTATTCCTAATAAAAGAAAATAAATAATATATAAATAAATAAATATATATTATATACTAAGTTTTAATAAATAAAGATTTAATTAAATAATATTTTAAAATACTTTTTAAATTAAAGTTATTAAATATAAATATAACTAATATTATAATTTTCAATTCTATTAAAGAAGTAAAAACAGTCCTTATAATCTATAATAAAAGAAGGCTTAAATTATTTATAAAAAATTATTAATTTAAAACTAAAGTTACTTAAAGAATAATATAAAGGAAGTAATGAAGCTATAATCCTACATTATAAGAGGTATAGAGGCTACTTAAGTTAATAAAATAAGTAGGTATATAGACCCACTAGTTAGTCCTATAGGCAATTAACTTATAGCCTTAATAAAAGTTATATAATTAAGATATAATGTTAGAGCTATAGGTTGAACGCTTATAGGACTAACTAATAGGTCCGTGCACTTTACTTATCTTATTAACTTAAGTGGCCTCCATACTTTTTATATAGTTTCGTTTCTTATCCCTATATATATAAAGTATATATAGTGTCTTTATATAGTACTGAATATTTAAGATTTAATATTTAAAAAAATATAATATTAATAATAATAAAAAGAAAATATAATATATAAATATATAACTAAGCTTTATATTATATAAATAAAGTTAAAAAGTATTACTTTTAATAATATTATATTAAAAGCTAGTAAAGTAGTTATATTATAAGACTACAATAATCTTAAAATAACCCTTATAAAAAGAAGAATCTTATAATATAAAACTTAATAAGTTAGTTTTCCTTATTAATATATTTATTATATAACTATTTAAATCTATTTTTATTAAATAAGTTAATATAATTTCTATTCTAAATATATAATTAATAAAATAATAACACTATAATAATAAACCTATTTAAAAAGTCTTATTATATAAATTCTATAAAAAATTAAAACTTTCTTAAAAACTAAATAAAGTTTATTTATTATATATTAAATAAATATTATATAAAAAGTAAAAATCTAAATACTTAAAAACTAAATCTTTTTTAAATATATTACTTTATTATTAAAAGTTTATCTACTTTTATATAATATATAAGAAATATAATAGAACAGGGAGCTTTATAAAAAAAGCTAATAATTTTATATATAAATAAGTTTAAAAATATATATTAAATAATTATTAACTTTATACTTAAAATATAAACTAATAGTTAATTTAAAAGTTAAAAATATAATAAATAGATAAATAGTTAAACAAAAAATATAATATAGTTAAAGCCTTTATACCTCTTATAACGCGGGATTATAGCTTCACTACCTCCCCTATACTATTCCTTAGGTAACTCTAGTTTTAAATCAACAATTCTTCGCAGACAATTTAAGCCTTCTTTTGGCATAGGTCGCGAGGACCGTCTTATATAATATATAATTATAAGGTGGTTAAAATTATACTCTAGTTATAAAGTAGGGTAGGTATGTTTTCTGTTAGATAAATAATGTATGTATATAGAAACAAAATGATTACCAGCCTGACAGGACATAACTACATCGTTTTCCGGACAGTACCCTCATTTGAGCTCCTCCTGGGCAATGTTTCCACGGGTATCATCTTGATGATGGCTTTTGCAACATACTCGCCGCTCTGATATGCACCCATGACCGTACCAATGCCTTTGGTAGGCGCCACGTGCTCACCAGCGAACCACACACCTCTTTCAGTCCCTAAACCCTCTCGCAGGACTTCTAGATCTTTGGCGCCGTCCTCCTGTCCTAGCGGAAAATTGGTGAAAGACCCGTAGCCCGCGAACTCGTCGTTCTGCCAGTCAGTGGCTAGAAATTTCATAGGTTTGCAGTCAGGAGACTCCGCACAAAAATTTGGCAGACGAGAGTAGTAAGGCCGGAAGTGAGAGTCTAGTATCTCATAAAATTCAGGTGACTCGTGGTCTTTTCCCTTGATAAGATTGGATATTTGGCGTCCCCACTCGCCGTATGTGAAGAACATGATGACAGGCTTTGCATGCGGCTCCGGAAGACCGGAGAACGAGATTATTTCCTGGCGCCATTGATGAGGGTTCGTCTTGGGCGCGTACTTGGGTTTCAGAAAGAGTGATTCGATAGGAAACGATCCTTGACCTGCTGCTTGTCCAACGCCATCCCAAAAAGCTTTCGGAAAACGGATAAATATCTTTTCGAGGTTTCCGTACCCGGTTGCATTAATGGCTTGGCATAGTCGCGGTGGCAGCTCCGGGTTAAAGACATGCTGGTTTCTTTGTAACCATCCGAGAGGTGCAGTGACGATAACCTGGTCGAATCCTTGCATCTGACCGTCTCTTGTCACCACCTCCAATCGGTGCTTTCGGCCTCTTTTCTCGAGCCCCTCGTTGAGCTCGATGCGAATTACCTCGGCATTGAGACGCAGATCAGCGCGAGATATTGCGATTTCAGCCACCTGTTCCACTATCTTCTTGAATGTTGATGCCACGAACAAATTGTCTTCAAAGAACGTTAGCAATCCCACGACGCAAGGTTGAAGATCAACTTACCTCCATCAACGCCTTCATCTAGCCACAGACTTTTCAGGCTTTGGGTCTCATAATCTGCGCCCATAAATGCTCCCCACATCTCAATTATCGACTCAAGAAGCGACTTTTGTGGGCAGTGCTCCAGCTTCGTACTCACAAACATCTTCAGTGATGCTTCTGGTGGTACGCCGGGGTAGTGCGTTTTGCTGTGCTCAGATGCCTCATTGAGTATCTCCCACACCCTCTCGTAGAATTTCTTCGCGTGTTGTTTCTCCAAGAGGCTACCCTCCGCATCGAATATGGAGCCTACAGCTCCACAGGCAATTGTTGCTGTTCCCGACAACGCAGCCAATTCGACGAATGGATTCCCCTGTGTTCCATGGATCCAGCTGGCTCCCATATCCACCGCGGGTCCCAGCTGGGAGGACTGGTAAACACGACCACCAACACGTCCCCTTGCCTCGAGAATAGTGACCTCGAAGTCCTCCAAGGCGAGCAGGCCTGCAGCCCGCAAGCCACTGATACCTGCTCCAATCACGCACACACGCTGCATAGCAGGCTCTTTCATAGGTGAAATAAATGAGCGAAAGGTGCTTGAACCAACAAGTATGAGGTCAGGTAGGACCCACACTCTGTAACACCGTAATGGCAGGCCCAGGCGTGCCTTAGTGTGAAGCTATTGAGCAAACACACGCAGAATTTTGTGCCGGGCGTGCAGAAATACCTTCCACTAGAATCACCCGGGTCAGAAATCCCCTTCCTCCGAGGTCCGAAGCAGTTAGGATGATGCTGACGTCAGCTGACTCGAGGGGGCATAACATCATGCACTACTACTGGTTTCTTCTATTGCACATACATCGGAGGACATACATGGCACTCTAAAATACTAGTAAATGCTCAGTCACACCGTCTCTTTTATAAAAGAAACACGCACTATCAATAATGTAAGTAAAAAGTATAATAGGTACACATAGTCTTAGTATTAACGTAAATTAGTAAACTAATTTATATATAATCTTACTAACATATATAAATTATTTGAATTCTTATAATTAAAATTATTTAAATATATACTTACTTTAAAAAAGTATTTTAAATAATATAAATATAATAATTATATTATTTAACTTATTTTTATATATAATAATATACTTCTTTTATAAAAGGTAATTTATAGTTATTATAATTAATTATAAAATTAAAACTAATATAAATAAAGTATATAAAATTTAATATTTTTAATATTTATATAAAGATATTTTAAATTAAATAAATTATTATATAAAGTTATATTTTATTTACTTATATATAAATACTTTTAATACTTTATTAATTAATATCTTTTATTATCCTATAAAGAATTAAATATTCATTTATAATATATAATATATTTAACTTTAAATACATTAATTTAAGTAATTTAATATTATTTAATAGATTTATTAAATAAATATTTTTTAAACTTTATATAAAACTTTTATATATATTTAATATATATAATAAATTATTATCTATCTTTTAAGATATTTCAGTAGATATTTTTAGTTTAATAATAAAATATAAAAAAGATAAATTATATAAAATCTATTTTAAATTAAATAAATAAATAAAGGATTTTAAATTTAATAAATATAGAAAATAGTTTAAATTTAAGAAGTTTATAAAAAAATTTAAATTTAAATAATAATAATATAAAAGTTACAGTTTATATTAAATAAGTAGATAAAATCTAGGCCGCCCGCATTCTATATTCCTCCCAATCTCTTGACTCATGCCCCCCTACCGAAGTACATATGAAAAAGGCATTGAACCATGGTTCTTAGGATGGACTAGCCTTAGTAAAGTATAACACACCCACTAATCTATTGTTCATGCGTCTATACCTGGTTCCATTCCTATTCCGTATACAGCCTAAGTCATACTATGCGTCTTTATACCATATTTCTTTTGTACCGTGTGTTCTTACGGGACCCGTCTAGGACTGCTGGCCCCTGAAACGTTTAGAAAATCGATGCAACATGCGCCGGTAATATGACTTGGCCAGCATCCACTTTGAAACTTTATTTGTCTAAGCATCTCTAAGCCTATATTATAGTTTTGCTAGGGCCGTACTTCTCCCTTATATCCCCCACTCCATCCTTGCTCCCCGATTTCCTACGAGTGTCAGATCATTTGTTTCTACACAGCTTGTCCTCATCTGGCCAGGGACTTCTCCATTCTCATCTCTACACCTCTCCCATTGCAGCCACGTTCTCTTCGCTTTGAAGCACATGCTACTGGAGCTATGGATTCAGACGCACCAGAGAAGACAATTCGGCTGACACGAAGCGAAATCACAGACACTAGCTCTCCAAGCATACCAACGAGTGACGAATTTGGCCACCTCCCCGACCAAGAAGCAGATATTCTGAGGCAGCAGGTCTCCTCGATTGGCCAAAGAGTTGGCGTCACCACTCTTTTCCGATATGCGTCCTCCTTCGATATTGTCCTCCTTTCGCTCAGCGCTATATCTTCAATACTGGGTGGCGCAGCTCTGCCACTGATGACTCTGCTCTTTGGAAACTTCCAGGGGACCATCCAGGGTTATTTTCTTGGAAGAGCTTCCTATCAGGAGTATATCCAGGAGATGACCTCGATTGCCATGTATTTTGTGTATCTGGCGATCGGCGAGTTCGCCCTCGTTTACATAGGCACAACTGGCTTCATCTACTCTGGAGAGCGCATAAGCAACCAAATTCGCGAGCATTATCTAGAGAGCTGCCTGCGGCAGAATATTGCCTATTTCGACACTAAGATGTCTAGTGGTGAGATCACAACTTCCATAACTACTGATATCAACCAAATCAAGGCTGGAATTTCCGAGAAACTTGGAATCACCCTTGCCGCCGTTGCCACCTTTATCTCCGCGTTCGCTATCGGGTTTGCCGCCTACTGGAAGCTCACTTTGGTCGTTTGCTCATCAGTGTTTGTTCTTCTTGCAATCATGGGCATCGCATCGTCCTTCATCACCACGAATGCTATCCAGCTGTTCCTCACTTCATCTTCGGCAGGGAGCCTGGCCGGAGAGATTCTTGGATCTGTCCGCACTGCTGTTGCATTTGGGAATGAAGAGCGCCTCGCAACACAGTATGATGGGTATTTGAAGGAAGCTGAGAAGTACGGCTTCAAGGTAAAAGCTATCACTGGCGTGATGGTCGCTGGGATGATGCTCGTCCTTTACCTGAATTACGCCTTGTCATTCTGGGCAGGGAGTATATTCCTGATCAACGGACAGACATCGCTCTCGAAGATATTAACGGTGATGATGGCGATCATGATGGGCGCCTTCGACATCGGTCATGTCGCGGCACATGTCCAGGCCATCACGATGGCTTTGGGGTCGGCCAAGAAGATCTTCGACACCATCGACAGGGTGGCGCCACCGTCTCTTGATCCGACTGCAAACACAGGCGAGAAAATCGATCAGATTCAAGGCGCGATTCGCTTTGAAAGTATTAAACACATCTATCCATCACGGCCCGACGTTGTAGTGTTGAACGACTTCACTCTCGACATCCCAGTGGGGAAGATGACGGCCATTGTGGGCGCATCAGGGTCAGGAAAGAGTACCCTGGTCGGCTTGCTAGCGAGGTTCTACATTCCTGTTCGAGGCAGAATTTACCTGGACGGACGAGACACCAGCACTCTTAGTCTTCCATGGCTGCGCGAGAACATCGGACTAGTGGGGCAAAACCCGACACTTTTCAACGAGACCATATATAACAACATCCTGTACGGATTGTCCACATCTGCACTTCCCAGCGAAAGCGCGGAGAGGCAACAGGAATTGGTGATCAACGCAGCCAAGACGGCCAACGCACATAACTTCATTTCGGAACTTCCTCGGGGTTATCACACCGTCGTCGGTGAAAGGGGGTTTCTCCTTTCCGGAGGCCAGAAACAAAGAATTTGCATAGCCCGGGCCATCATTTTGGACTCAAAAAGTACTTAAACACTCTCACTCACCCATACCGTCTGACTATACCTTCTCTAACTTATTTATAGTCCTTGTACTTGATGAAGCGACTAGTGCCCTCGACTCTGAATCGGAAAAGGCGGTCCAAATAGGCCTCAACCAAGCGAGCGCAGGGCGCACAGTCATCGTAGTGGCCCATCGCTTGTCAACTATTCAGGATGCCGACCAGATTGTTGTGCTTTCTCAAGGATGCATCGTGGAGCAGGGGGTTCATGAGGAGCTGCTCTCGAAACGCGGCGCCTACTTCAAGCTTTTTAATACTCAAAGAATCGCTGCTGCACTTTCGTCTGCGGAAGTCAATCAATCCGATGGCAAAGGAGCACGACCCTTGCACGACTCATCGACGGCATCTACTGGAGCTGGAGAGAAGGATATTGTGGAGAAGATGTCAAAGACACACACCGGACGAGATGAAAAGTCTCGGCGTGATTCCCCAGAACCTGGAAACGAGACTAAATACGGGCTGTGGACCTCGATCAAGTTTATTGCTTCGCTCAACAAGCAAGAACAGATGCTTATGCTGTTGGGACTCTTCTTCGCGGCCATTTGCGGCGCTGGCAATCCAGTGCAGGCAGTCTTCTTCGCTAAGGAAATAACGGTGAGGTTCACCCATGGATGAATTAAGAGTATATGCTGACCCACATCCTAATAGGTGCTCAGTCAGCCTCTTACATCAGAAAGTTCTGGCGAAATTAAGACGCGCAGCGACTTTTGGAGCCTCATGTATTTGGTGTTAGCCATCGTCCAGTTCATCGCCTTCACCATTCAAGGATTGGTGTTTGCGAGGTGTTCCGAGAGATTGATTCAGCGGGTCCGCGACATGACGTTTCGACACATACTCCGCCAGGACATAGCCTTTTTCGACAATACGAACGTAGGCACCCTGACATCACTCTTGTCCACCGAAACGGCCAACGTCGCAGGCCTCAGTGGAGCAACGCTCGGCACTCTGCTCACAGTAAGCACGACTCTGATCGGAGCCGCGGCATTGGGTCTAGCCCTTCAGTGGAACTTGTCACTCGTCATCGCCTCGACGATTCCCGTGCTCCTGGCCTGTGGATACCTTCGTTTTCATATGCTCGCCAGATTCTCCAAACACTCACAGACGTCATTCTCCGAGTCAGCTGCACTGGCGTCCGAGACTATTACTGCTCTGCCCACGATCGCTGCTCTTGTCAGGGAAGACGAGGCGCTGAACGAGTACCGACGGATGATCAGGGTCCAACAGGCGAGAAGCCTGGTCTCGACGCTGCAGTCCAGCGCCTTATATGCCGCTTCCCAGTCGGCCTTCTTTCTCGTCTTCGCTCTTGGCTTCTGGTACGGTGGTACGCTCCTCGCCAGGCACGAGATTGATCAGTTTCAATTTTTTGCTTGCTTCTCCGCCATCGTGTTTGGTGCCCAGTCTGCCGGAACATTCTTTTCTTATGCCCGTGAGATGGGGAATGCGCATAGCTCCACCAGTCGCCTGAAGAGCTTGTTCGATAGGAGACCGACTATCGACACTTGGTCACATAGTGGCGAGGCCATTGACAGCAGCTCCTGCGCGGGTACTATCGAATTTCGAGACGTCAAGTTCAGGTATCCGGAGCGGCTCGACCAACCAGTTCTGAGGGGCCTTAATTTGAAAATCTCAGCTGGACAGTACATAGGTCTAGTCGGAGCTTCAGGCAGTGGCAAGAGTACCATTATTGCCATGCTGGAGCGGTTTTATGACCCAGACGCCGGAACCATCCTTCTCGACGGTCGAGATATCCGCACCCTGAACTTGAATCAGTATCGCAGTATCATCTCTCTCGTCTCCCAAGAACCAGTGCTATACCAAGGCACTATCAAAGACAATATCCTTTTGGGGATGCCGAACTCGGACGAGATCAACACCGAAACGATCGAGAAAGCGTGCGTCGAGGCAAGTATCCACAACTTCATCGTGTCCCTCCCAGATGGTTTGGACACAAACGTTGGGAACAGTGGTGTCCTGCTCTCGGGAGGCCAAAAGCAGCGCATCGCTCTCGCCCGTGCTCTGATCCGCAAGCCAAGGCTGCTTTTGCTGGACGAGGCCACGTCCTCGCTCGACTCGGAGTCGGAGAGCGTAGTGCAAGACGCTCTGGACCGGGCAGCTAGGGGTGGCCGGACGACTATAGCTGTGGCACATCGACTCAGTACGGTGCGGAACGCGGATACAATATATGTCCTGGACAATGGAGGGATCGCAGAGATGGGTACCCATGACGAGCTCATGCGAATGGAGGGGCGGTATGCGCAGATGATTAGACACCAGTCCACAGACACCAGTCTCTGACGTGCCAGCTGCTACATGGCTATTAACACATAGGGTATGAAGTTCGTTTGGTCAATTTCAGAAGGCACAGACACACAAGTCAAATCAAAATAATGGCTTAAAGAATACGTATTGCGATCAGTGTGCGATCAATAGATCACCACTCCTATTCCAGAACGTTTTGATGCGGACCATTCAAAGAGACAAGGAACGCCGCACTATCAGTATTTCGAGCCTATCTATGCATCTTTTTGGCTGCCACTGCTTGCCACAAGGGTTGCCTTGCCGCTCACGGCGTAGTATACACTCATATATGCGCCAGTCTTAGCCGAGTACGAGAAGGAGACGTTGCTATGCAGAACCGAAAGTGGTGAATCCAGATCAGCGCCGGGAAATGTGCGTCTTAAGCCAGTCATATAATTCTTTGGCGTGGTGTCAATAGAAGGGCTCCAAAGTGTCGAGGGCAACCACAATTGTTACAGGTGAGAATACGTACTTCGGCTATCTGCTCCCATCGCAGCTTTTTGAACGCGGAAATCAGGTTGTGGGCTACGTGGCCATCACTCGGTGCATATTGCCACATAGGGACGTATCTATAAGGGAAATGGAATTCAAGTGGTTAGCAAAGTGCTGTCCGTGCCAATCGGGCGTGAAGGTGTGAACACTCACACTTTCACATCGGGTATCTGACGCCCCGGTACGATCTCGAAGCTAAACATGATGCTTCCCAAGAAGGACGTTGGATGTCGCAATGGCTTGTCATAATCATCGTCGCTATCAGCAGGCTCATTCCTGAGTAGGTGCCAAATAGAGTGCAAGACGTCAAGACCTTTTAGGCGATCGGGATCAGTGGCCTTAATTCTGTCAGCGAACTCCTCATAGGCCGGGGTAGAAGAACTATCAGCCTTACGTGACCGCCAAAGGTGGCAACGTCGCGGACGACATTCCAGCTGTTCCGTGTCGAGATGTGGGCGTAGATCTTGACACGAGCCCTGGAAGGATCGATACAGTCCATACCAATCATGTCCAAGGTCAATCTCTCTGGAAACTTATCCCAGTATGCGTCGAGGAAGTCCACGGCAGGCGCCAGGCGCTCCCCATACGGCCGCAGGCTGCGGATGGCATCGAGGCCGGCGTCACGAGCATCACGATGTCGGCCTGTGGCGAGGTTCTTCGCCATCGGGAACATATACGCTTTCATGCTCCGCGTGCCACCACGCAGGTCAAGAGCCATGTTGAAGGTGAGCGCATGGTCGAGAGGGGGAGGCAGCTCCGTCTGTGAGCGCTCCAACACCCGCGCCATCTCTTCCTCGTTGCTTGGGAAGAGGGCCTCGATGAACTGTTCAGCCCAGCCTAGGTCGCCATCCTTTATCTCGGGTTTAATCCGGGAGAGCATTTCCCGCACAGCGGCCTGTCCGAATTTGTTTTCCGGTATGGCATGGTTCTCTCTGGTCGCGCTGAGTGGCCTGTCCGCAGATATTTGGGTTAGCTATCTCCTGTATTTGGCATTCACTAGAAAAAAAGAAGTAATCAATCTAGGCCGGGAGGGACTCATACTCGTATTGATACCGTACTATCGGATGGGTGGATGATGTGAAATTCAGGCTCGCCTCTAACGGTGAGACGGCGTCGATGGGGTTCACAGCGCTGCCGCCATCTGACAGTGGTTGGGGACCAAGCCAAGGTGTAACATGCCTCTTGAAGAAAGATAGCTGTTCTTCCTTCTCTTGCTGGACGGACACCGCATTAGCCCTGCTGCCTCCAAATCTAGGCATGGAACTTACTGCCGTATAAGTCCCGGCGTGATCCAACAAACCAGCAATAGCCGGCTGGCAGACCCTCCACCACAGTTCCTGGCCCTTTGTCTCGTGATCAATTTCCTTGTTCATTTTATGGGCAATGTAGCGAGTAGTGCCTGCTGACAGGTAAGGACGGATTATTCTTGAAGGCGCGGGCGATCTATGGTTGTCTGACTAGGTACTCTCACCGAGCCTCTGCCTCTATCTAGTTGGACACCTCATTGTATTTGACAACGAATATTCGCACAGGAAAAAACGGATGGAAGGTTCTGGGTCTCTGGCCAGCTCGGATTCGTGGGAGAGGTGCAATATCCGGAACCCCCTGCCCTTCGAACCCAATTCTAGGGCGCCTATTACCGACCGCTTGTTCTCACTGTGTGCATGTTAGTGTCGAAACATAGCCCAGGACTCAGTGGAACCCCCCCCCCCCTGACTCGGCTGGCATTGCCAAGGCTGCAAGGGTGCGGAGGTCTGGTAGCATGAGGATCGTTCCAGTCCGTCCCACACAGTCCAAGATGCCCACATTGCAGCTACATAAGCGGAGAACTTTAGTTGCCAGTTTAGTTCATGGCGACTTTACTGGGGGTAGCCCTTGCCTATTCCAAATCGCTAATGTATTTTCGAATTTTATGTGAAATAGAATTCACGCTAGTCTGTCCAGGAGTTTACCGCGATGGGATGGGATTAACTCGCGATCCTCGGGGAAACTTCAGTGGTGTTCCAATCCCGATGCGACACTACTTTGGTCAATTCATGTATGCCCTTTAATGTTTAACCCATCTAAATACGCAACTGATACCGGCCTGTAGTCCTGTCGAACAGGGCCACAGTCACTGACACCACATTCAAGGACGTCCTGTGGTGCATTGCCGTACACCCCACTTGTCTGGAGAGAAACGAACAACCGTGATTCTCTCAAATGAACTCAGTTCAACACGTTGCAGAGATGATATCGGCTTCAGAGTTCTTCAGCTTTAAGCTAGGCGCAGTACTTGCCACGGTATGTACCCTAGGCTTGGTGGCCCATACTCTACCCGGAGAAATCCATGGAAGGGCATGCTTGCTAACGTTGAGATAGTTTCTTGCGCTCTATTTTCTGGCTACGTACATTCATCTCTCATTCTTCCATCCTCTTGCCAAGTATCCTGGTCCAAAGGCTGCCGCCATTTCCGAGGTAAGCCACACTTCCACATCGGCAACATCTTCGGGAAGATCTGAACTGAGATGGGCAGCTATGGTTCTATGCATCAGTCGCATCTGGTCGGCATCCTTTCAGGATGCGGGACTTGCACCGCAAATATGGTAAGTGCATTCCGTCGTTAAACAGAATGAACCTCGGCGCTGAAGCAACAAATCCCAAGGGAATGTCGTGAGAATCGGGCCCAACTGGCTGTCGTTCAGCAATGCCCAGGCCTATATGGACGTCTATGGGCGGCCCAGCCATAGCAAGAAGGCATTCCTCAAGTTTGGAGAATATGAGCGGCCAGGGGACATTTCTACCACCCGAGATCCAGATTTGCATGCTGTCCAGAAACGGGCCCTTTCCAAGGGCTTCAGCGCTGCAGCCATGCGTGATCAGGAAAACGTCCTGCATGAATATCTAGACTTGCTGGTTGGACAGTTGGAGACCCTTGGCAAGGGAGGCCAAGTGGCAATCAACATCGGCGAAGCGCTCAATTGGTTCACGTTGGACATCATCGGTACGACAGCCCTCATGTACACTGTTATGATCCATCATGCTAATTCATGACGTTCATGTGCCACCAGGCGATCTTGCATTCGGGGAACCCTTCGATTCCATTTCCAAAGCTTCCAACGAAGCATACTCGCTCATCACGGACGCCCTACGATACAGCAACGTGGAGTATCTCAAGCGTCAACGGCCATATATTGGCCCAGTTGTTGCGCGGCTGCTGTTTCCGAGTTCTTTAAAGAGCAAGCATATGAGATATCAACAAATCGCGGCAGCAAAGACTGCGAAGCGCTTCGAACGGGCTGATCTCGATCGCCAGGACTTTTTCAGCCATTTAATCAGGGACGGCCGTATCTCGGAGAAAGAAATGATGGCAACGGCCTGGACGCTAATCATGGCTGGCTCGGAGACCACGGCGAGCGCGCTCACTGCCACCATTTTCTACCTCCTTCGTAATCCTCAGACTTTAGGCCGCTTAACCAATGAGATATTGGCGAGTTTCAATTCCGCTGACCAAATAACTGGTTTGTGTGATCCTCCTAAAAACACACTGGCATCAGAAAGCTTACAAATTACCAGGGGACGCTGTGTTGGGGTTGAAATACCTGAACGGCGTAATTGAAGAGGGGCTTCGACTTTTCCCACCGCTGGCGATTGGTTTGCCGCGCGAATCACCCGGTGCAGTTGTTGACGGCCATTTCGTTCCTCGGGGCACATGCGTGTCGGTCGAGAACTTTTCATTGTCCTATGACACCCGGTACTGGGAGGAGCCCGAGTCTTTCAGGCCCGAACGGTGGCTTGGAGCCGGATTGGAGCATGACAATAAGATGGCTCATCACCCTTTCTCCGAAGGCACACGCTCATGTATTGGCAAGAACTTGGCATACCTCGAGCTGCGCATACTCCTTGCCAGTCTTGTTTTCCACTTTGATTGGGAACTGGTCTCTACTGATATCGAGGACTGGAATTCTGCCTGTCAGTGTTTCGCTCTATGGACAATGCCCGAGTTGCTGGTCAAGCTTCACCCGCGTGCAAATGAATCAGTATCTCAAAGTTAGTGTCAATAGCAAGTATAATAAAAGCCAGATATTATCGTGTTGAAAGGCTGCGGTGCATCGGAGACACAAGCAATTACCACAGCTTCCTGTGTTCCCATGGTTGTACTTGTTCGGCATAATTAATTGTGTTTCCTCCTTGATCCGAATCATGTCCCAGCGAGCTACCTCACACTGCTGCACGTAGTTTTTGCACCGGTTCTCGTTGTTGATAATTTCCTGAAACCGTGTAGTCATTGTCGCAAGGCAACATCCACAACAAACATCGTGCCACTTGTTGTCGGGCTCGTTGGCGTCTTCGATTCAAGCCGAACATGATAGCCTAGGTTCATCACTACAAGATTACAGGATTTATTTCAGATGCTAGTCAATCTCTGAATTTCATTGTCGTCTACCTATTTAACGCACTATCACATCTTCTCTGTGTTGATTTTCGTTGCACGACGTGACATGGTTCCAAGGCAACCAACAAGAAGAACTCTGCACCAGGATCCTGAGGATTTTCACTACTACACTGGAATAGGAACAGGGCCACATGGTTTCTTGGTGGCGGGGAGCCAGCCTTGATGAGCTGTTCGAGGGCCAAATTCGACCGGGTAGTCGATCTTTGTGTGCATCAAGCCCCAGTTGTACCAGAGAAGATGGTCACCTTCTTCCTCCGGGCCAACGTAGATATTTTCTGGGCGAACAACCCGGATTTGTAGCTTGGTTAGGAACTCTCGGACTTCCTTGACGTCTTCGATGACCCTGGGCTTTTCTTCTGCGTTGTTGCGGATGTAGAGGCGGCGCACAACATTGGGCTGTACCTGCAGATGCTTCTTTCCGGTGACAGAATTCATCCAGACCAGAGGTAACTGCGTATTTCAGATTTTTACTGTTAGTGTTTCCCAACAACAGTGAAAAGATGACGGATTGTGCTTACAATGTGCTGGTCTTTCGGATCCCTGGGCATCGCCTCCATAACAGCATCTGGCACCTCTCTACCCTCATTGGCAACATTGAGTCCATTTGGGTTACCCCTGCAACCCAGAATCCACTCGTAGGGGTAGTACATGTATTCGCACCAGCTATGGTCCACAATCTGCTTCTCCTCGTCGCTGAGCATGTCATATAGTTGAGCCGTGCTGAAGAAACCGGTCCGTCCAGGCTTGACCTTCTTAGTCAAACCCGAACCGTCCGCCCAATCTACCGTCTGCTCTCCCTTGGGGAACTTGATGCAGCGGAATGAGGTGAACAGGGGCGGGTTGATAGCATATTGCGGGCCATCCATGTGCCATGATTGAAAGCGAGTGATGCCTTTTTGAAAGTCCTCTTTCGGCAGAGGCTTGGAGTAATAGAGATCTGCAAAGGCTTCGCTCAAGGTGACATCCTTCAATCCATAGTGGTCTTGACCTTGATAGCCCTTACCCATGAGATACAGACGACCGCCGTCAGGGATTGTGCTATAGCCTAGCTTGGCCTGTTATTGGGGATGACGTATCAGCATGATGATCAAGGACTCGGAGCCAGCGTAAGGGAATCGTCCTCACAAGGATGCCCTTTCCCTCGGGATTGTAGAACTTGGCCCATTGCTCGTCTGTGAACTCAGGCGCGCCGGGGTCCAGTTTCTGCAGGAGCTCCCAATTCTTGCTTGGCGTTTCATCCTTCTGATTTTTGATCACCAGAAGTAGGTGCTGTTGGAGTAACTCCCGCAGCTTGTCGATACCAGCATCTATAGATTGTCAGTCTTTCTCCACACACTCATCAGGTACCGATCGCCATGGAGGTAGATCAGATTTACCGGTGATATTATTGAGATCGAGCCCGTGAATCTCGGCGCCAAACTGTAAGTCAATAGTGTTACCATTTGTCCGAGCAATTATCGAGTCTCCGTGAGCTTACGGTCAATTCTCCTCCAAACGGCTTGACCTGGAAATTTTCCTCGGTGCTGGCCATTGTGAATGACGTGGGTTGTGAAAATGATGTTTCGTTCAAGGGATTTGGGACGGAATCAGACCGGAATGTTCCTGAGGTCGACGCCTTGACTGGTCTCTAAAACGGGTGATTGGGGGATTATAAAGTGAAGGACCAGGACACATCTGTATGAGCAATACCAGGCAAAGAAGTAGCCTGTTTGTGTGCACTGTCTGGGCAGTCTGATAAGGTGAGGAGTTGAATCTGACTCTTTCCCAATAGCGCTTGAATAGGCTCGTGTTTATGCAGTACTACACCGCCCCAGGCGTAGTAAACGTTGTTCAGTAACCCTGCCACCAAAGGTTACTTTTATTAGACAGTTGGCCGAAGTATAACCTTATATGTCTGGCCCGCCGGCTAATAGTCAAAATACAACCTTAATTAGTGTTTATTTCTCCTCATTCGGATTCGGTGTGATAAAAGTAAAATTTGGTGGAAAGGTTACTAAGGAACGTTTATTATCCTTGTGAAGGTGTAACTACCCTGGGTTATTTGAGTCCGCTCTCACGCTTGGCATTGGAGAGGCGAGTGCGGGGTCTGCAGGGTGTTCCCCAGCATCTAGCTCCGTGATTTTACTCTTACAGGGTTGGATTGACGTGCCAGTGATATGCTAGTGCCTGTACTCCAGTGAACACGTGGGGTTGAGTTAAAGTTTACCAACGTTATCCTTACTCTGTTTGATAAGCGCGGGATATTCGAATCCACACCATCCCGAGCGACATCTTCAAGGCGATATAATTGACTTTTGTAATCTTGGTCGGTTTCACAATCCGTTTGCACGTCATTGGGTTGTATATCGTTGACAAATTGGGCCCCTCGATGAACTTTACTGTGTAAGTTTGAGCCAGCATGCTTTATGTACCAACATCAAGACATGCCTCCACATCTGAAGGCGCCTGTTCAAGGACGTCCTGACTCGTTTGACCCAGTATCTGTAGGTGGAAGAAAACAGCGTCAAGAATACTAAAGTGATCAAGATTGGTGTACGGATTACTAAGCGTAAGTCTGGTTTGAGTATCCCAATTGCCGTCCCTCTAGATTGTCCGAATCGTATCCAATTATCTCCTGCTGATGTTCAGTATGATGACAGGTGACAGCTTTGGTTTTTCCGACCAGATGTCAACCAATTTCAGCTCTCTTCCGTCTCCGCAGCATCGGTAAAGATCGATCAAGTCGTGGTGATTGTAGTGTACTTTCACAACGAGTCTGAACAGCGCTCCGGCTTTCATGACAGTCATTGGATTCGGGGCTACAAAACGGTCAAGAAGTTTGAGAACAAAAGCTGATAGACGAAGACATGGCTGTTTCACTTCTTATACTTGTAAGAAGATCCCCTAGTTGTTTTCCATTCTCTAACGGTACTGACTATGTCAAACAAGATCTTAGGCAGCGTTCTTGTCAACGCCGTGTACAATCTCTTCTTCCACCCACTGAGAAGGTTTCCTGGTCCACTGCTTGCACGCGCTAGCCGCCTCTACTATTCGTACTATCGAAGCACTGGAAAACTTGAGATTAAAACCAAAGAACTTCACGAAAGGCACGGCAGTGTTGTCCGTATTGCCCCGGATGAATGTTGGTGATCTCAGAATCTATATGTGGGACCAGTGCAGCTGACTCGTGAACAGTAAGCTTTGTCAACGGCGCCTCTTGGAGCGACATTTACGGCTCCAAGCCCAAACATGGCGGAGCCAGGAGGATGGAAAAGGAGCCCTTTTTCTACCTTGGAGCTATGGCACCAAACGGCGAGAAGAACTTGGGCGCTAGCTCAGACGATGACCACACTCGTATTCGTGGAGTGCTTTCGCATGCCTTCTCAGACAAGGCACTAAACTCCCAGGAGAATGTGTTGAGAGATCACGTTACTCATATGGTGCATCGGATTCAGCAGCTAGGCGGAGCGCCGACGGACGCGGTGCGTTGGCTGCACCACTGCACATACGACATTATCACAAACCTCTCGCTGGGAACCAGCGCTGGTGCCCTTGATCACGATGCATGGGACCCCTCGGCGCACCTCGTGTTCGAGAGTGTCAAGGAAGGCATTGCCGCCATCGAGGTCTTGCGCTTCTTGCCGTTCCGGTCGCTGTTAGTTCGTCTGTTGATGCAGATATTCGGAACTTCGCGCCGCCAGGCCTTTGATACCGCAGTCGACAAGGCAGGGATGCGTATGGCAACGGGAAACTATGAACGAGCCGATTTCATGTCCTACATACTGCGGGCAAACGAGACGTCCAAGGAACTGACGGCAGCTGAAATGACGGCGAATGTTGCACTACTTCTTGACGTTGGGTCGGAGACTACGGCGTCATTGCTCTCGGGCTGCTTGTTCTACGTTACTAGGGACTCAACTATCTTGAACCGACTGACTAGTGAAATTCGCAACGAGTTCGAAACGGCGGAACAGATAACATTGAAGAGGCTAACTGCATTGCCATATCTCCATGCTGTGCTTCAGGAGGCACTGCGGCTGTATCCGCCAGTTGCAGGAGCCACTCCTCGCTTGACGCCCGCATCTGGAGCCATAAGTATATTCAAGCTACACAACATTGGTCCAAACCAAAGACCGCTAACATATGCATAGTTGATGGTCATGTTATTCCTGGTAAAATTATTGTTGCTATCAACCAGTACGCTGCGTACAGAATCGACGCCAACTTCACGGATCCTCTGCAGTTTGAGCCTGGGCGATGGTTAGGCGAAGGCGACTTCTCTCGGGATAAGCGCGAGGTCTTCCAACCGTTTAGTCTGGGACCCAGGGACTGCCTTGGTAGGAAGTGAGTTAAAATATTTCGTATCTCGGAGGGTGCGAGAAAAGGCAAACTGAAACACCGAGCTGACATGATATTCCCTACTAGTCTCGCCTGGGCTGAAATGAGACTCATTATAGGGAATCTTTTATGGGCTTTCGATCTGGAATTGACAGCGAAATCTGAAAATTGGGACAACCAGAAAACTTGGTTCATATGGGACAAACCGGATTTATTGATCCGGTTCCAGCCACGTGGGCTTGTTGCTTGAGCGACGATGGGGGATGTATTACTGCATTACATTAAATTTCAATTGGATCCCATAATGCTCAAGGGCATGGATGTGGTCTGAAACTGGCCGACATTCTGGTTGTCCGTATCCAATCTACATGATGGCACGAGATATTGGCGGAGGTTTCACTAGTCACCCATGTAAGATATATTCCCTGGTGTATACAGGTTATTGGGGACCTTGCTTCATTCCTTTCTTGAAGTGTGTTTCCCCGAAGGCTAGCGACATGTGACTACTCGGTCACAAGGGCGATGTGGCCCTGCGGAGACCAAACATTGGAGCATATTTGGTGATGCCCTATTCTGCTCATCCTCTACTCAAGTAGCGTTTCACTGTGATTCATTCATGTTATCTGGCTCTCCATAACGTGTCTCAACAACGAGAACGTCGTCAACGGGGTCAACAGTCCTGTGCCGCTGGGGCAACGACACGCCGAGGCATGCAATATTGTGCTCCTGAAGTCGCTGGACAGGGAGCACCAACCTCAGCTGAAAGGCCAAATGTAACTTTCTTGGCAACCACCCGGTACAGCGTTCATTGGCTGCTGACGACAACACATAAATGTCTCGATTTAGATTCAAACCGGGAATGGGAAGGAGCTCGTATGTGCTACCGATCTACATGCACGTGACCTCATGCAGGCCCGCTATCGAAACTTTCCGATATGTGTTTTCGCTTCTGTGTGGTTGTGGTGTGGTTTCGCTTCTATTCCGTATACGTCCGAGGACATACATGGCGCCTTCATACGAGGAAAGTTTCCGATATACAAGGTTTTCCTGCAACAAGGTTGAAAGGGTACTTATTAGTACTGAATAGAAGTATATTAGGTAGGTTATTTTGGTGTAAGGGGAAACCCTGTTTATGAGGAAATGGGGGAAGGAATACTGTGTGAGGACGGAGAGACATGCTATACGTACAGTATCCACTGAATCTTGGTGCTGACCAGTCCTGCAAGTCAGAAGTTTGCCCGAGTCAGCAAGAAGCGATGCATTGACAAACTCACACGGAGTTTGAGAGACTCCGGGGATAAGAAGCCGTACCAGAATCCGGATGCCCGGGATCTGTGATCGCAATCAGAGGCCTCTGTTTCCAAGTTGATGACATTTGAGAAGTAGTAAGACGTCTACCAGACGATCAAAAGGAATAACCCGCTACCGTACGGCGACTTTTCTAACTCTACCAACATCCGTCTTGAAAAGTCTTCGCTTCACTATGGCACTCACCGAAACCGTCACGGAAACGATATCTGCTCACGATGTTAGAGCCACATTCTACTACATGGACTTGACTGACCCCAGCTTTGCTGATCCGGTCTCGTTCCCGTCAGATCAAGCGGAGCGGTAAGCACTGGAAATACGTCCCTATGCCCCCAGGGAGTCCGTAGCTTGATTAAATCATGCCTGACTTCCTCTCTCAATCACAGGAACAACATTGCCAAGTTACCAGGAAACAAGAAGCCAGCAATCTCGCTCGACTTCGTCGTAAAAGACATTAGCACAGAGTTAGACAAGTACACCCTTGACACTCATGGGTTCCAGTACATCAAGCACAAGAGCAAGTTATCCAAAGACGACTTTGCCGATGACGAAAAAGTCAGAACTATCTACTACCCTGAATCGATTGATTTGATCAAAAGGGCGTAAGTCGCCCACCTCACATTTCTGTTCCGCTGGAGCACAGCTGGCTGACCAATCCTTCTGATCTCCAGGACAGGGGCGTCTTACGTGCACGTGTATGAGCACAACTCTCGGGGGCCTGTCAAGCCCACTCAGAACAAGGAGATCCCGATGCAATGCCCCTGCCACTTTGTCCACTGCGACCAGTCGTACAACGGCGCCAAGACGATTGCACTCAGTCGGATCCCAGACAAGGCTTTCGCCGAGAAGGCGATCCAGGTACATTTTGCCGTTATGAACGTAAGTTTTGTTGCCTGATTGCAGACATGTCCACATCAATGGGCTGACCAGATCAATTCTAAAAGGTGTGGCGTCCTGTCAGGACAATTTACAAAGATCCTTTTGCATGCGCTGAGGGTGCCTCCGTTGTAGATGACACGGACCTGGCACCGATGCCCATCCAGGCAGATGACCTTTTAGAAGAAGGGTGGGCAGTGGGCCCGAACAAGCGGCACCGCTGGTACTTCAAGTATGCTCAGCAGCCCGATGAGGTGCTGTTGTTTAAAAATTTCGATTCCGAGGGGCCAGTGAAAAGGATTGTGCATTCTGCTTTTATCGACCCATCGAATGTTGATAATTATGACAGGGAGAGCATTGAGCTCCGCTGTATTGTTGTATTTAATCAGGATGCAAGCGGGATCGGTGTAGTTGATGAAAAAGAGTCCGGGGTCGGGGGAGCAGGGAATGCTCAAGGTCAGGTCACAGGATGAGGAAATGCGTGCAACACTAGTTTACACTTGCCCTGCTGCCTGCACATGAGACTTGTAGAACTCACGCAAAAAGTGCGCTCCTAAAGTGCGCTCCTTGGTGCTTTGCTTGCAAAAAATTATGACTTGACAGCAGGAAAAGGGTGATAGCAGGAAAAGGGTGATAGCAGGGAAAGGGTGACAGCTGGAAAAGGGCGACCGCACGACGCAATTATTAGTCAGTCAAGGCCGGCATTGATGAGCTCATCCGCGTCAATCATATCATTTATCATAAAATGGCCACGTCCGCTATGCTGCAACACCTGTGCCATCTCCCAGACTCAATCTGTTCATAGATTAGTATTCGTTGTTCTGTCTCCGCCTTATACAAAATGCCGACCCTTCCGCACGCCTCGTTCCCGCTGGACCATGCCCCGAAGGGCACAGTTCTGATTCCGGACGAGGAGTTGGACACTCGGAGCGATGAGGAAATCACCAGCATGCTGCAGTCATCCGCAATGCCCCCTTGCGATGAGCGGAACTTGTGGGCATACTGGGATACAGGCTTCAATGCCATGCCCCCTTGGACAAAGAGGAACGTAATTCACTGGGCGCGAGTCTTGGGGCCCTCGTGGACAATCCGCGTACTAGACAACGTGCCCGGGTCGTCGCACAATGCGAGCCATTTTGTGCCATCTCAGTTGCTGCCGCCAGCGATGAGAGCGAGAGCCATGGAGGGTCCCTACTCCGCCACCCACTCGGCCGATTTCATTCGTCTCCCGCTCCTCTTCCTGTACGGAGGATGCTGGCTGGATGTGGGGGCAATTCTTGTGCGGTCCCTGGACGGTATTTGGTCTCGGCTCGAAGATTCGACTCAACCCTACGAGTTTGCGGCTTTTACCTACGAGACGCGCCCTGGCGAGACTTCAATTATCAATACCTGGATGATGGCTCGCAAGGACAATGAGTTGGTTCGCCGTTGGCACCAAACGTTTCTGCATGTCTGGGGCGAAGCTACCCACTGCGAGGGTCTGTCGAAGCATCCTCTTCTTCGTCATCTCAAGCCCTACGGGGCTCCTACCGACGCGAAAATAATGAACGAAAACCACGAAGCCGTGACCAAGTCCCGCGCTATCATGGATTATGGGGCCCAAGTGCACTGTCTGGAGCGCCTGCGGGACCTCGTGGACGCCGATGACGGATGGGACGGTCGTGCGTGTATCGAAAAGACAACATTCCTTCTCCCCGCACTCAAGGAGATGTGGTACTACCAGGAGCGAACAGACTTTCTTGGCTCCCGCCAGTTTGAGCTGCTGACGACGTCGTACGATGCACCGGAGCAACAAAGGTCCGAGGCCCAGACCTTCGTCGACGACATGCTCGCGAATACGACGATAATGAAATTCTGCCACGGCCTCAAGGACGCTATGGCATCCAGTCTGGCCGACCTGTGGGACGACCCGGCTAACTCAGAAGCCGACAACGCCCCTGGGACTTTTGCCGAGTACCTACGATGGGGAACCATGCATCTGCGTCAGACAAGGGAGCTGGTGCCTGAGGAATTGACTCCTGCGAGCAACGAGCCAAAGAGGGCTACAATGTTTGAACCTTTCCCTATGTAGTATAGTAGTAGTCTAGCTGGGTACCTCTGGAATAGAGTTCAATCAAGGTGCTGATCTGACCAACACAAGCTACCTAGATACTTTCTTGAGGACATTATCTCTCAAAACTCTTGGCCCTGTACGCGTGCATGGACGGAGACCCCACAAAAGCGGTTAGTCCTGATTCTAACGTGCGCGCGCCTCTATCTCCAGTACTTTGGTCACATCCGGGGAGCAGGGGCTGAGGGGCAAGCAGTTACTCCTGAAGGGTCCACATAAAATAAACTTCCGCCGTGTGCCCTACGTATGAGATGAACGGTTCATCATGAACCATGTCTCGACTCATTCGCCTGCAGCTTAACCTTAACTTTATTTTTACCAGAAAACCGGAAACCCTCGCTTCGAGCGTTCTCGGTCCGAGCAATCTCGGTCCGAGCCTTAATCGTGTTGTATTCTGGGGCAAGTAGTGTGCCCCGAAGTGGAACCCGAAGGGACTATACACTATAATTTAAACTTCCACCACATAGATATAACATGAACTATATCTCGACTCATTTACCTACAGCTTAACCTTAACTTTCCAAGGTTACTTTCCCCATAATAGCGGAAACCCCCGCTTTGAGAGTTCTCGGTCCGAGCCTTCTCGGTCCGAGCGTTCTCAGTCCGAGCCTTAATCATGTTGTACTTTGGGGTGTTCTCCGAAGTGGAACCCAAGGGTCCGTATAAATTAAGGTTCCGCCCCATATGCGGTGGTGCTTGGGGCGTTTATGCGCATATTACAACGAGCAAGGATAACCATCCACCTCGTAACCCCCCATAGGAGTTTCTTTGGCTGCAGCGGTTAATAAATATTGTGTAGGATATCAACGACGAGTTTGGGGTTGCTGCGGGGTAAGCTTGGCAGGTACATGGTGTTGTGTGGACTGCCCACCTAAAGTGGTGTACTGGGTGCGTGGAAAGAAAATGCTGGGTGCGTGGACGGAGATGCTGGGTGTGTGGACGCTGGCTCGATATCAACAAGGTAGACACAAAACCCACACTGAACAGAGGCTAAGTGGCCCCATGTCGCATTGTGACACCGATTGGTTGCACAATTCTTGATGATATTAGCAACAGCGCTTTCTCAGGTAGGCTGTGGCGTTTTCCATACTCAGTTTTTAATACTGCGTAATAAATTCAGACGACGTAGGTATACTTGGGAATGCCAATTGCTCGTTAATCTTCAACACATTTCTATATTCTACGTAATACGGATTGTGTGCTTTGCGGATGTAGCCCTTGGATTGAAACGATTGCCCTCCGATTCCCCTGACCTATGGCATCCACACAATTTCTATGAGAGCCAACATGGAGTCTGGTGATTGGAAAACATTATTGATAACAAACCTTGGGTCCGCTTCATTGACAATTGCCTTCCACTCATTCAAAGTCCTCTCCCGACCATTCATGGTTGCGATAAGACCGAGGTCCATTGATCTATTTGGTTTGAGCTGTTAGACGACGGCATGTTGGAACCTGAGTAGATAACGGGGTTACATACCTCAAGTCCCTTTCCTTCCAAAGTGGCAACGAGCTCCCTGGAGTCTCAGGCAACAGCGACTCGTTCAGAAGAATCTTGGCCCCCTTCCTAAGCTTCGGTATCTGGGCCCGGAGCACCTTCACGCCGTGCTTATCAGGCCAGTCATGGAGGACCTGGCGAATCAGGTAGATATCGGCGGCAACAGTCTGCGTTTCAAACATGTCGTGGATCATGAAGTTGACCCGGCTCTTGAGCTCGGCCGGCACGGCTGCATGGGCCTCCTCCTTGTTCATGCCCATATCCTGGACGAGCATGTTCAGGTTGGGAAATCTTTCCGCAAGGGCCAACGAAATGCGGCCTCGGTAACCTCCCAAGTCAATGACTTGGACGTTACCAAGACCTGCCCAGTCGTAGTCCTTCAGCAGGTACTCGAGCTTGTACCCAGGAAACTCCCACTGGATCGTCATCCCGGAGCCAAAGCGGGCCGCCCTGTCAGGATCATTGGCCACGTTGCTAAAGTAGCTGCCAGTTGTATTGTGTACAAGATTGAATGCCTGATCACAGCAAGTTAATCTTTGTTCAGAGAAGGCACGACGGGATGTCTCCTCGCGCTTACCGTTTGGTCTGGTTCTTCACAAGTTGGCCATTTCTGTAAGGCATCGACAACCTTGAGAGGGGTGTGATGTTAGTTGCGTTGCCCACTTCCTTAGACTGTTTCAGTGGATTTCTCACCTTGGACATTGTTGCCCATCCTTCATCAGCGCCAGCTCTGACGAATGCGAGGAGCCATGGTTCACGGAGAACCTTAGATGTCTTTGTGTGCTCAATGAAACCAGGCTGCCTCTCCCGAAAGATGCGCATGCACACAGCATCACGCAGTAGACGAGCGACGACACTTTCATCAAAGTAGGTCTTCTCTGCGATTTCAGCAAAGGACATACGGCCCCCTAGGGGGACCATGTTTGGAACGTCGAAGCGGGCAATGAAACCAAGACTGCCAACGCTATTGTTCTGTCGGTGATGCCGAAGACCACGGTTAGAGACGTCTATACCTATCGGGAGCGAACCAGTTACTTGGAATGAGAAACGTACTGCACTATTCTTAAGGATCAGAGTCGTGGGCTCTAGCAGAAGATCGTAGAGCTCTTTGGTGGCATCCAAGACAGTGTCTTGAGCCTTGTTGCACTCGTCAGGTAACCGAGTTGGAGCATCCTCGTCAAAGGAAGGCGATGGCGCGCCCTTGGAGTCTAAGGTTGTTTGCAATTCCGCCACGGATTTGCTGATTATAGCAGCTAACTCGACGATTCGAGGTGTAGTCTTTGCAGCAGGCATGATAATGTTCGGGATGTGTTGATTGTTTGACAGTTGTGAGTCCACACGTTACGGATCAGTCGAGAGCTTTACCGCAGCAAATCCATTTAACACAGCAATTAATGAGGTCTTTTCGGGTGGGTATCTACGGACCGAAGTCATGAACATGGCGACGTAATACAGCAATCAATGACGTCTTTTCGGGTGGGTATCTTCGGACCGAAGTCATGAACATGGCGATGCCTCAAAGTATCCCATGTAATACGTATGTTGGGTTGCCGAAAGTTTACGAGTAATGCAACTTAGGTTTCCACCGTGGGAAGTACCGCTAAACACGTTGCTATTTTTATTATTCTATGATTCATTGGCAGGAAAGTTTAGTGGTTGTTATAGGTGTGGTTATAGGGCTTGGAACTCTAGCTTGACCATATTCAATGTCGGTCAAAGTTCAACTCCACTGCAGTCTTAACTCCCCTGCAGGCCCACGGATGCTAGCCATAAGTCGCGAAGCATTCCAAGGTTGGCAGGTCGGAACAGAAAGGAGTATCTACCAAACAGGGATGTGAATGTAACATAACCTTTGTTAGCCACTTATCACCCCCAGAGGTAGTGTCACTATCTCCAGTGTGCAGTTTCCCATCGTGAATCAATTCGTGTCGGAAAAGTTTCGACTTGTGGATCTCGACTCAAAGTTAGTGTTCTCCATCATCATTGGGTTTCGAGTGTCTGAAGGGATTATACCTATGCAGGCATTCCAAACGTTAAATTATGTACAAGTAATTGTATTGGTTTTCTGGGACCTACTAGGTCACACTTTTCCCAATTTGCTAACAAAAGCGACCTTCGATAAAGAAGTCCCCATTTATTAACCTTCGGAATGCCTGTAGAGGTGTGAATAGATGCTTGGCTATGTATGCGGGGTTGAAGAAAACCACTTCATGTGTTGGCATCTGCTGGTGTTCGATGATTATTTCCAGTTTCGTGTCGGTCAAGCTACTTTGAGCTAGATATTCTCGTCCAAAGAGCGGTGAAGTAAAATACCCAGCAAGCGACACAGCCTCCGAGCCCCTCAAATGGCTGGGCGCCAACAGCTCTTGGTTCGCTGGTGAGACCTCCCATTTCCCGACGGATGTGCCAGGAGACGTGTGGCGGGCTCGAGGACAGCATGTTCACAGGAATCACAGGACCCAACGTCTACAAGATCTCTTCCGATGTCCCAGAGAACTGCTTATGTAATAGCTGGAGATCAATGGATTCGTATGTACTGGGTCTAATATATTGACTTTGATAGGAGTTAGAGGAAGACAGAACACATGAGATCGGAGATTCGCACGCTAAATAGTCATTCGATCTCCTTGACCCCTCCATCAAACTCGGAGGAGTTCCAACAAGAGCCTCAGTTCCAGGTTTTGAGAATTAAGTAAAGCCTCAATCCGCCGTGTCTCTGCACAAAGCTGGAAATGAATGTCCTTCAAGACGGACCTGGTATAGTCAAGACCTCCCCCAGCCTCGATGACGCCCAGAACAAACTGCTTCTGCTCTACAGTCATACTACCACGCTTTCTCCCCGTTGAAAGCGCATTGAGCAGGCCGATGTGATTTGGTAGTTTGTGCAGTGTGTGAATCAGGGCCAGTGACCATTTTCCCTCATCGAGATCCTCGCAAAACCCCTTCTGCTTTCGGTACTACCCAGTCACAATGGAGTCAGAGAAAGGACTTTTTGTATCATGTGGGGATCCGGTGTAGATGCTTACATCGTCAGACACCAGATTTTGGTAATCATCGCGTATTTGGAAACACCGTCCAAGCAGACCCGTCAGCCGGTAAAAATGATCGCGGATTTCCACCTCGGTGTCCGAGACATCGAGTAGCAGGCTGGTTGCGATTGAGAAGAGCTGCCCGGTTTCTGCTATGAGTGTCAGTAGGAGTATATTGCCTTGCGCAATAAAAACTTACTCTGATCTATCATCTTGTAATAGTCCTCTTCACTCGGTGCACGTCCGTTGTACGTCCAGAACAAGTCCATGGCCTGACCTTGAAACAGAACCATAATGCTACCTGCATACCTTGTCAATACCCTGAATCGATAACTCACCTGTAACTTCAAGTTATTAGACAAACACATTACGTACTCAATACCCGCTGGGCAGATTCGGTTGAGGAAAATTCCATGACTTGACCAAATCCCCGCATAATCGAAGAGACAGCCGAATTGACGGTTTGCGCCGGCCCAAATATATTGTGTGCTGATGGTTTTCCACGTCTAAGAGCAGAGTTGTCTTGAAAGTCATCAAGGCTACCAGACACTGTCAGTTCCCGAATATAGACTCAGTTCTTCATGAATTTCACTACAACACTTACAGTAACGAAGAGTTGTGAAAGGTACGGATTGCATCCTCGATCTTGACCACCTTGTCCCCAGGTACCTGCAGCCACTGGTTCAAAGCATCAATGAACTTATCTCTTACCCCCTTAGATGGCATGGATGCAATGTAATCGTAGGGCGCGCGGAGGACATCGTTCTGCAATTGAGAAGTAATATTTAGTTCTCTGTCTTTCGGTCGACAAAGCTCGTATACTCGTTCCCGGGGCGTAATCTCACCTCGAGAGATTGGTTATTTGCGTCGTATGCCTCCGAAGATTTGTTGTCGTCAGTGTGGGCGGGTGAGCAAGACCCTCCAGTAGCCAAAGAGGAAGCTTCTGTACTGGCACTTCCTGCTCTATACCGGATAGAATCTAACTCATCTGGCGAAGGGGAAAGATCGGGACTATCTGAGAAGCTCTCCGAGATTTCAAGAAGTGGAAGCCCCCCTCGCATCCATTCCAGTTGTGTCTCGTTGAATGTGATCTTGGGGTTGTATCGCGGGCATTCCAGACTCCAGACTACATTCCCCGAGATGCTATAGAGCATGGCGTCAAGATATTTGCGAAGGTCCAACGAGATTGACTCATCGTTTTTGGTAGCCTCAATGACCTTGAGGTACTTGGCGACGTACTCCACGATGAGGGATCGACAAATTTGCATGGCTCCACTCACGTCCGTCTTATGCTCCTGCATCAGGACCCAGATGGCGTTGACGACATGGTCCTTTCCGTGCTGCTTGGCGGCGTCTCGCTCCTTCGGCCAAGACCATAGATCATTCTGCAACCCAACAGAAATCCAAGCATTTGCCATGAGTTCACGGCAGAGCTCGAGCTCATGGTCGGGGATTTGAAGGCCGAGAGCAAACGTCACTAGTCCAAACCAGAACCTATGGGCGCATTTGCAAGTCAATGTCGAGTGACAAGACTCATTTAGTCTGGGTCAGTCACTCACATCTCACCCACGTCCATGATACGGTACGGTATGTACTTGGCCAGTTCGACGAAACGTATCTCATGTTGCCGACTGGAACCAAGTTCAACGAACCGTGCCCACGATTTCATGGTTGTTTTGGCGCATTCGGGATCAATTGCGAGCATCTCGAGGAACAACTGGTTTTGAATGCGTTTCTTGCCCTGCAACCGTGCATCACCCTTTTTCGAGTTACCGATCGTGCCGGTATGGGCAGCCTCGAGGAAGGCTGACATCATCTCGTCGTTTTCGATCTCGCTCTTTCCATCATCATCAGGCAAATTCTCATGGGAGAAAAGGGAAGAAAAGGGCTGCGGAGAGCGAATCATGAATCAATGAACTCACAGTTTCGTGGCTGACATTATCAGTGACATCTAGGAACAGGACATGCAGTCAGTCTTCCGTCGGCCAGATAGAGGGAGTCTCGATCGAAAACTAAGACTCCAAGTTCAGAGGCCCACGTACCGTCGTGAAGAAAGGCAAACTCGTTTGCATATGCCACAACCTCTAATCTCTCAGGTATGCACTCCGGTATTGCCACCGATATGAAACTGAATCTGGGTCCAAGTGTTCCCTTGTATTCACGACAGGGCCCAATGTGCTTGTTCCAGTCCTCATGAGCGCGGATTGCACCTCGATCCTCAAGATTCGTGAATTTGCTCATGCGCACGTCGATTCTTTCGCAGAGGCCTTCGGTGTCGAAGCTGGATGGATCGACGATTTCCGAGTAGTTGAACTCCATGTTGGGGAAAGTGGTGGAGTATAGGTCCACAGCACCAAGATGGCGAAGATGATGGATATGAGGCGGAAATGACTTTCGAGAACTTCAAAGACAACGGGTTTCACGTAATGAAACTGCTCTGACTGCATATCAGACTTCAATCGCTTCTGCAGATACGAGAGAACGAGCGTGGCTCTATGTTGTGTATCCAAGCAGTTGCCGGATGTGATGCCTCTACGAACAGGAAATTGCCGAAAAATCACACCGCCTTTAATACTGCTGATAGGAACTGTGTAAGACGAACAGACACTTGGCATGAGATAATGTGATCTAGGGTCGTATAGACCACACTACAATCATGCGTAGCTTTCCATGGGTCTTGGTGCGTAAGTCATGCACATGCGTGGAAATCCCCAATACTGCTTAGTAGGTTTATGATTTTATATCTGATACATAGGATATGAGCCAGCCTAGGATCAGTCCACAACTTCTTGTTAAGGCCACCTAAGCAAGCACTATCACCCCACTATAATAACCTTAACTAGTTTTAATAATAGTATGAGTATAAAGTAAGTTAACTTTTTTTTAACTAACTTACTTTAATAATAGCTTTTATTACTTCTTATTATATATAAATTTATAAAGTTTTAAAAAAGAATACTAAAAGTTTTTTAATAAAAAATATATAAAAGTAAAGTTAAAGTCTTTTTAAAAATTTAATATTAAATTAAAAATAATATTAATATTTAAAGATTATTATTATTATATTTTAATAAATTTAAATATTTTTATTATTTTAAAATTTATAATAAAATAGTTTTTAATATTTATACTATTTTTAAAAAGGTTTATTTATTATATAATAATATAAAGTTATAGAATATTAAAGTAATTAATTATTAAACTAATTATTATAATTCCTTAATTAAATAGTTTATTATATTAATAGTTAATTAAATGTTTTTATATTTATTTTAATAATTAATATACGGAGTGTAAGTTTAAATATTTATATTTAAAAGTTATATTTAAACTTTTGAAGGTTATACTATATAGTTTAACTATTATATTATAAGAAGTAGTTTAAAAGACTTTATTAAATTTAGTTCTTATTTTATTTAAAATTTATAAGCCTTTTCTTTTTAATATATTAATTTATTAGTGAGTTATGTAGTTTATTATAATTTAAAATATTATTATTTTAAAATACCTTATTATTTAATAATTTAAAGCTTTAAAAACGCTTTTAAGGGCGAAGTATAACGGTATAAACTTATATATTATTAAAGTTAATTATTAAATTAATTAATTATTAAATTAATAATTATAATTTTTAATTTAATAGTTTATTATACTATTAATTAATAAAGTTTCTATAACTTTATTTTATTATAATAAAGTTTAAATTAAATTAAAATAATAATATAAACTATTAATAAAAGTTAGTTTATAATTTAAAAGTTTAAATTATATATTAATTAATATAATATATTATACTATAATTAAAATAAATAAATAAATATTAATAGTAAATATATTATTTATATATAAGTATATATTAATATTAAACTTTTATTTAACTTATATAATAAATATAAGTATAAAAGTTTTAATATAACTTATATTTTATTATAATAATTTATTATAATTTATTATTTTCTTTTATATTATATATAAAAGAATGAAATATAGAAATTAAATTATAATTAATTAATTATTAATTTTATTTATAAATAATTAAAGTAAAATTTTAAATTTAAATTTAAAACTTAATTATTAATTTAATCAATAAATTAAATATTTAATTATACCTTTTATATTTATTATAAATATTAAATAATAAGAATTAAATATAATATTTTTATTATTTTTAATTAATTAAAGGCTTTATTTATTTATAATAATTACTTAAAATTTAATAATTTAAAATTATTATAAGTATATAATTATAATTTACTTATTTTAAGTTTTTAAAGATAGTATAGATTTAAACTTTATAAATCACTTTAAATTACTTTAATTTCGATTCTTTTAATAGGTGAAATTAAGCGTTAATTTGCTAATTGCTAATTACTAATTGCTATGTGACTTCTACTAGTTGATAGGCAGCTGTCAGCCGCCTGTTGGCACTTACGGACCGTCGTCTTCTGGGTAATTACGGCGGAAGCCACTGCTTCCCTTGCTTGACTGGTCGCTCGATTGGTCGATTTGACTTCGATAGTCGATCTGACGATCGCTGTCACGATCGCTGTGACGATCGCTCTGACGATCGCTCTGACGATCGCTCTGACGATCGCTCTGACGGGCCGAGTGGCGGTCCGAGTGGCGGTCCGACTGATGGTCCGACTGACGGTCCGACTGGTCGGTCTGGTCTGTCTGGCGGCTAGAAACGCTTCCGTGCCCTGGCCTTGTGTGGTCCCCCTCTTTCAGGTATGTAAATATTGTATTTTGGGAGCCTCTTATAAAGTTGCACGACTGATATATTCGCCGCTCGACTGGCGTTTATTACTTGATTAGCGTAGGCCTTGCTTATTATTTAACTTATTTAACTAGTAATAAGCTTAGAGGACTTAATTAGTTTAAAAAAGTAGTAATAAGTACACGGAAAAGTAGAGACTTCCTTATTACTAGTACTTAAAGTTATAATAAAGTATATAGTAATTATTATAAGTTAGAAATATTTAAATTTAAAGAATTAAATAAAGTAAACTTTAATAAATATATCTTACTATATTTTTTTATATTATTAACATTTATTTTTTATTATTATTTAATTAAACTTTAATTAAAAATTAAAGCTTTAATAAAATTATATTCTTATTAAAGTTAAACTTATTTAAGTATTATATTAAACTAACTTCTCTTTATAATTATACTATAAGTAAGTTATACACCCCTCTCGCTTACCCTAATACAGTTACTATTATACTATCGTTATATCAGTAAATTAGTAATATAAGAAAGGACCTTGTAATAGTTCACGGGCTTAAATCGATGGGACTTATTAAATTTCTTCGATTCACATACCCGAGTCGTCGAATCTATGTGGGTATATGAACATCATTGCGTCATTTGCCTGAACACCTGTCCATGGTATCCACTTGTGTTCTTGGAGGGGAGGGGAGTGATGAACAGAAGGAGAATCACCGGGAAATATATATTTACGTAGTCGGGCCCATCAATGAGGGGTCGTTCTTGGATGTGAAATCATCATCCTCAGATCGGGGGCCAGCAAGTCCCGTCACAATTCTCGTGAAGTCCCGTTGACAATTCCTTCATCATGGACATGCTGCAGAGAGCTCTGGAGATTTTCCAGAGCCACAAAATAATGGTCGTTTGCATATTTTCCGTTCTCTACATGTGTGTCTCCTTAATGATGAACCTAGTGTACCGGCTGTACTTTCACCCGCTTGCCAAATTTCCTGGCCCGAAGATTGCAGCCGCAACACATCTCTATGAGGTTGCCTGGGATTACTTTGGCGATGGAGCCTACCTATACGAGATACAGCGCATGCACGAGAGATACGGTGCGTTTTTCACCGTCAGCACGGGTACATTTCACTTGTTGCGAGATTAACAGTATCGAAAAGGGCCAATTGTCCGAGTGAATCCTGTGGAACTGTCCATTATGGACCCCGACTTCTACAACGTACTCTACGTTGGAGGGTCGATCCGGAAGACGAACGCCTTGCCGAGTTTTGGGGATGGAATGGACTTTAATGGTGCGAGCCAAGCACGAGGACTGAATTGTGACTTGCGCATGATTGCCTACCAAGACAAGGGACGCTGACGGCTTGACACAGGCTCCCATGGAATGACAGTCGACCATGATCACCACAGGCTTCGGCGGAAACCCATGGAGCCCTTCTTTTCCAGAGGCAGCATTGCTAGGCTCGAGGATCGCCTTCAGGAGCTCACTGTGACTTTAGTGCAGAGACTCCAGGAATACAGAGGGACTGGCAAGGTTGTTAGACTTGACCACGTCTTTGCTGCCCTAGCAGGCGACGTCGTCAATGTCTTATGCATCGCTAATCCTACCATGTCCTTTCTACGTCACCCGGACTTCAACCCATACTGGTATGAATTATTCCATACACTGATTCGTTCAATGCCCGCGTTCATGAATTTTCCGTGGATCATAAGGTACGTAATCATTTGGCATCCGTCGACCTTTTTCCGAGACCTTTTTAACAGCGTGGGGCGTAAAGAATAGTCAGACTAGTCCCCACATCTTTACTAGAGAAACTAGATCCGAGGAGCCAAATGTTCCGTGACTGGCGCATAGTAGGTCAAACCCCCTCCATAGCCATATCAGTGATTATCGATTCTAACAGAGATTTGGTTAGATGTCAGTCAACCACATCATCGACGCGAAACAACGCAAAGAGAAAGGTCTCATGCTTGTGAGCGAAGATGATAAGGTTAAATGCGAGACACTGTTTGATCACATTGTCAACAGCGATCTACCCGAATCTGAGCTCTCCGTCGAACGGCTGGCGTCTGAAGCCCAGGTGGTCATGGGAGCTGGTACTGTAACTACAGCTCAAACTATGAATTTCCTGGTTGTCAATATTCTATCAAACCGGAATGTTTGCCAGCGGCTCCGAGAAGAACTCCAAGAGCCAATGAAGTATTTTCCGGAACGCATACCAACTTTCTCTGAGCTTGAGAAACTACCTTGGCTTCAGGCTTGTATCAAGGAAGCCCTGCGTCTCAGTCCAGGACTGACTCACCGTCTGCCGCGGGTATCACCGCACAAGGCGCTATTCTACAAGGACTGGGTTATCCCCCGAAATGTGAGCGAAAGGAAACAGGCGGATCTCTGGTGTGACTCAGGAGCAGCCAGCTAACAAGCTAGCAGACACCGGTCGGAATGTCCGCTCTCTTCATGCACATGGACCCATTTGTTTACAAAGATCCCACAGCATACCGCCCAGAGCGATGGCTCGCAGACGTGACTCCAGAGATGCATAGAAATTTTGTCCCGTTCACCAAAGGCTCGCGTCGGTGCTTGGGGGTTGAGTTAGTGACCTTCGTTCCGTCCTCCTCATGCGTCCCACTGACATGAAATCATAGGCTGGCATATGCTGAGATTTTATTGACCTTTGCGGCGCTCTTCGGTCCAAATGGACCTCAGCTGAAGTTGTTTGACACAAGCATTTCAGACGTACGACCGCAGTGCCATTTCCTCCTTCCTTTACCTCGTCTTGACAGCAAAGGTGTTCGGTCTACAGTAGAGGCTTAGTCAAGAGGCTAGCGGTAGTCAGGGTGTGGGGCTGTCGAATATTCTTTTTTCCCTAGGAAATGATAAGCATTTATTTGTCAGAGCACTGGGACTGCACTCGTGAGCAAGACGTATTAGGTCTCCTCACTCTGTTGATCGCGACCGGATTTCCAAACATAACGCGGGCCAATCTCATGGGTTCGCTTCGCTACCCGCTTTCTTCCGAATGAAAGTCAAGACGCATGTTGAACTTGTAATTCAAATTTTCTGCGTATAACCTCATGGCCATCACACGAGAAGCCCGTCTTCGTGTGATTTAGACCTGCGCATACATCAGGTTAGAACATTTCACTTCTAAGCAAACTCCATGACGTTAACCAGGCAATATATTGCTATTCAAAAGGCAAATCACCCTGGATTCAGCTTCCATGACGTTGCTCGCATTAACCGCATAAACCTCCATATTCACATAAAGTTTAAGAACCAAGCACCGTCACACAGTGTTTCTTTGCTTCCAGGATGCCAAATTAAGTTCTTATAAATGTTCGAATTTCATAGGCTGATCATGCCGTATGTAACACTATTGTCAAACAACTCTTGGGCCGGCATCGAGTCATTGACACCTATCGCATGGTTCATCATTCCCACCCTAACTTCAGATTTACCTTGGTACTAGGTGGAATCTCTCTTGGCATAAACTAGCCTGCTGCTGTTACATGGGTGGTGTAACATTCTGAAAGACCTGGAAGGTTCTGAGATTGCTCGGGCGGAAACGTCTCGCTCAAGGTGGGCACTACGAGTCCTATAACGGAGATCCTAGAAACACATCTATGTTACTAGGTATAAAATATAAACTATTATATTAAGATAAGATTAATAAATAAGATTTTTTAAATTTTAAAAATATATAAAAGTATATATTAACTTAAATAAATTTTAATAATAAAAATAATATATAATTATAAACTATTTTTTATTTTAATATATTTAATTATTAATAATTTTAAAGTTATAATGAAAGTTTATATTTAATAAACTTAATTAAGTTAATTTTAAAAAATGTATTATATTTTATTCTTTTAAAATTTTAATTATTTATTTTTTATTTAATTATTAAATTTAAAATATAATATAATTAAAATAATTAATAATTAATTATTAAATATTTATAATTATATTATTATATTTTAACTTATTATTTAAAAAGTCTTATATTAAAATATTATAAATATAATAAATAATAAATTTATTTCTATAAATCGTATATAAATTTAAAGTTATTTTATTAATTATTTTTAAATAAACTTTTATTAAAAGGTTAAAATTAAAAGTTAAAAACTCTTAGTAGAGGAATATAAATCTAACTTTATTAAGTCTACTAGTATTAATCTAGTAGGCCTAGGCGTTAAAGGAGTTTCTATGGGTCTTTATAGTAACTAACTATTATAGCGCTATGCTAAGGCTCTGTTTAATAGTTAGGGAGGGCTTTTATAGTTATTTAAAAAGATATTATAATAATATAGGTAATTATAAGTAGGTATTTAACTATAAATATATTATTAATTATAAGTAGGATCTTTAAGTATTAAGATTAATTAAATTATAAATAGTATTAATTCCTTATTAATTAGATAACCACTTAAAAATAAAATTTATAATTATTATAATTTAGATTATTTATAGTTATATTTAAGTAAATATATATAAAAGTTGATAATAATATTAATCTTTAATTATATAATTATTATATCTTTTATAATTATTATAAAATTATTAATAATTATATTTTTAATTTTTTATATTATATTTTTAATTATATTAGTTTTAATAATATTTTTATTTTATTATATTTTAAATATAATATTTAATCTTTATTTTTGATAGTTATTATTTATTAATATAGAATTAATATTATTTATTATAAACTTTAAATTAATTTTATATTATTAAATATTAATAATAGTAGATTTAAATAGTTAAGTTTATAAATAATACTTAATTAATAATAAGTTATTAATTAGATTAAGGTAATTAATATTTAAAGGTAGTAAATATTTTATTTAATTAGAATAATTTTAATTCTATTAATAGAAATAAGGTAATTTTTAATAAGTTTAATAGTATTTAGTTTAATAATAATGTGTTTAGTTTTTAATTAAAGACTTTAAGATTAAGAATTAGGTTTTAAGAGTTAGTGTGGTGGAGCTTTTAATAAAAATAAAAATATAGTAGTAAATTTCTATATAGTTAAATAGTATAATAGTATTTATAAGTTTAAGGTGGTTATTTTAAAACTTAATATAGTTATTAATATTAAAAATATAGTAATTTTTATATTTAAATATTTTATAGTTATTTATTTTAATTAGTTTTAAAATAAAATAAAAAAGTAAAATAAGATATTTAATTTAAATAATTTAATTAATAATATTAATATTTAAACTAAAAGTATTATTTAATTTATAGTTAATTTAATTATTAATAAATGAAGTATTATTATTAATAATTTATTATATTAATTATTAATTAATATTAATAATCTTATTTATAATTTATTTTTAATAAATAGTATTAATTAATAAGATTTTAATTATTAATTTATTTTAAATTAATAATATTATTATTAAAGTTAATAAAGGAAAATATAAATAATTATAAAATATATTTATTATAAAAATAAATTTATATATTTATTAAATTAATAAATTATTAAAATAATAGACTTTTTAAAAGTAAAGTTAAAATTAAGTTTATAAGTTAATTAAAGTTAATTCTTAAAATTTAAATTAATTTAATTTATTTAAAAGAAAGTTTTATTTTTTATATTTTAATAATAAAAATAGTATTAATTATAAAGTTATAAATATATATTTAATTAGTTATAATTTAATTATTATTTATATTAAAATATTAATAAATTTATTTTTAATAAGGTTAATATAGTTAGTTTTAAATAATATACTTTTAAATAAAGTTAGTATTTATAAAGAGAGTTTAATTAAATTTTAAATAAGTTTAATATTATTAAAAATTATATTTTAAAGGGTTAGATATAATATTTTAATAAGATTATTCTTTTAAGGAGAATCTCTTTAATATTAAAAGTTAATTTAAAGTATCTTTTTTAAATTATTTATTATATATAAAGTTAGTTATATATTATTTAATAAAATTATTATAATGTATTATAGTAATTTTAATAATATTTAAGTAATAAATAAAGTTAATAATATAAAATTATAATAAAATAATTTAAAGATAGATAGATATAGGTAGAAAATAGATAGTATATAAATAAGTTAGTAAATTAAGTATAAGTATTATATAGAGTTTTTAATATAAAAGATATAAATTATTATTTATATTTAATTATTTATTTAGTTAATATTAAATAGTAGATAATAAGATTATTTTAATATAGGTTTAAAGTTATAAAAAAGAGTTTATTTATAATAGTTCTTACCTTTTAAAATATTAATACTTTTAATAAGGCTATACTTATAGTTAAATAGTTAATAGTATATATTTATATAAATATTAAAATAATAAGTATTATTAATAAACTATATTAAGTATTTTATAATAGTATTTTTATTTATTTAATTATAATTATTTAAAAATTATTTTAAAGTAAATATATTATTAATAATAATAGCTTTAAATTTAATATTTAAAGTTAAAATAGAATTTATACTTTTATTAATAATACTATTAATATATAACTTAATAAATATTAATTTAAATATATAAAGATTTAATTTAATAAATATATATTATTTATAATAAATAATTTAATCTATATTTTAATAATTTATATTAATAATTTTCTTACTTATAAAAATAAAGTTATTTTTATGAAAATTATATATATTAAAATTATAAAATTAATTAAACTATTATTATCTATTTTTAATTTAAATTAAAAGTTATTATTATATAATCTTTAATTAACTATTTTAAAATAAAGTTAATATAATAATGAATTAATAAATATAAATAAATATATTATAATTAATTAAATAATATAAAAATAATATTAATTAAATAACTTTAAATAAAAGGGTTAGTTTTAAAAATAATTAAGTATTTAATATAAATAGGATTAGTTAGAATAATATTCTATAAGAGGAAATATATTGAATAAAAGATTATTATATTTAAAATAAATTAAATTAAAAGGGTAAGATAGAATTTTATTTAAAGTAGAAAAGATTTATATAAATAAAGAATTTAAATTATTAATACTTTATTAAAAGTTATATATATTTTTATTAGTTATAATAAAGATATAATTTATTATTATATTTTATAAACTATTTTTTTAATTCTATTATTAAGTTAAAAGTAAATAGTGAGAGTTTTAAAGAGATAAGATATAATATATTTTTAAAGATTAACTTAGTTAAGTTTATTATATAAGACTTTTATAATAACTTTATAATTATTTATAATATTATTTAGTATTAAAAAACACCTTTCTACACTAGTATATTAGGTTATATTTAGTTAGTTTAGGTTAGTATTATTAATCTATTAAAGGTTAAAGTTATTATAAACTATAGGCTAGTCTTAACGCTATTAAGTATTATATATAATATTGTTATATAATTTAGGTAAGTTGGTTGAAATAGGTAAAAATAAAAGCTATTATTCCCTTAAGGGTTCTAGCTTTACTTTATAAGTAAATATCTATCTATTAGCTTTGCTGTGTTGTAAGTAAAATTACTTGAAAGTAGTCGCTTAGCCTGCTATATAATCTATTAAATTAAGAGATAATTAGATAAGGTAATTATACTCTATTACTATATATAATATTTAGGTTTATAGTTTTAATAGCTTTATTATAAATAGAAGAAAAAATAGTTATTAATAATTAGGTTTATAATTATATAAAGATAGATTTTTATTTTAAAAGAAGTTATTAATATTTAAAATAGTTAATATATTTTTAAAGAAATTAAGGGATTATAAATTTAATTTAAAGGAAATTAAGATTTATAAGAATTTTAAACTTAAGTTTA